AGCGCTCTAAAACGTGCAACTACACGCAGCATTTCAACCTGAGACGCCGTGTGCAGTTGTCAATTTCTTTGCTTTTCGTGATCTCGAAAGGGGTGGAACCTGTGGATAATGCAGTACAGAGCAAGCGAGTAGGAGCAAAGAACAATCTTGATAGACCGGAACACGCTTTGGGGTTTCGTCAATGACGGAAAACGGGTTGTCATATATGCTGAACTTGTGATTCAAGTTAAGCTTGTATTTTATTTCTCTAGCTACCCCCCTTTGTATTTCTTGAACTTTCTGGCCTGCTAACGCACAGTGGGTATGTGCAGTAGACCATTTCAGCTCACATTCGCACCCTCTTCGAAGGACCTGACGACCTTGACGTTTTCCTAGAGGTCATCCTAGATGTCCTGGAGGTCGTCTTAGAGATTGTCCTTGAGATCTCCTTAGAGGTCGTCCTAGACTTCCTTAAGACGTCATCCTCGAGGTTGTTCTTGAGGTCGTCTTAGAGATTGCCCTAGAGGTCGTTCTAGATGCTGTCCTCGAAGTCATCCTAGAGGTCATACTAGAGGTTGTCCTTGAGATCGTCCTAGAGGTTGTCCTAGCAGTCGTTTTTAACATGGCTTCTAGTACGTGATCCTCGACGTCGTCTCAGACGTCCTCCTTGAGATTGTCCAAGACGAATGCTATTGTGATTCATAGACAACCAACAATAGTGGTTTCTGCAGCAATTTTTTAAGCCTGTGCTTCCTGTGGTTACTTTCCTAGGTACAAGAACAATGTTGCACCTAGCAGTGCGACTTAGCTGCACTCCTATGTAGCACATAGTAACAAGATTTATGTAACAAAACCTTTGTCCCTTCTGCACCTCTTCCTTATGTTGAGGCATGACTTCAGTGAAATGAAAACATTTTTTGCACTACTGGAAGCTGATGTTTGGGGGGTTGTCTCAGCTTTGAGGGCCTCTTAGATTCGGGTAAACACAGTGCACTCTTGCAAATATGGTATAGCGGCCCACCTGGTACCATTGTCGGGTCCTGAAACATATTTACAGTAAAACCTCGTTATAACAAAATGGGATATAACAAACAAATGGATATAACAAAGCAATCATAATTCCCCTTGCTTGAATAGTTGGAAGAAATGGACATTGGCTATAACAAACTAATGGTTATAACAAAGTAATTACGACCGCTCCTTCAACTTCTTTATAACGAGGTTTTACTGTAATTGATTTGTTGTGAAAATATGTGAAAAGAGCTGCTCAAGGTGTAACTTTTGAAGGAGAACAAAACTTCTTAACACCTTACGAATTTTGAACGGCTATCACCACAACCATACACGAGAAACATACAAAGTGAATGCGTGTTTCACATTTCAGCATGACCAGAGGATCGTCCACAGGGACATCAAGGGAGACAACGTGTTGGTGAACACATACAGTGGGGGAATCAAGATCACAGATTTTGGGACCTCCAAGCGTCTAGCCGGAATGAACATGGTCACTGAGACCTTCACGGGTAAGTGTTTTGCCCGGCATGCATTCCCTTCGTCTTGCTGCGAAGCATGTGTGGTGTACAAAAGTTGTTCTGGTTTCAGGTACGTTTCAGTACATGGCTCCGGAAGTCATCGACAATGGACAGAGGGGCTACGGTGCACCCGTGAGTTTTTCTTCTAGAAGTCGGCGTTACGATGAGGCCTTAAAGGGATCATGAAAAGAAAGCTGACAGCATTTAGCTATATGATTCTTCTCTCTCTTGTGTGGTTCTTTCATTTGGATGGCGTAAAATTTCTGGTTAACGCATGTAGATCGAAAGTGGCTGTTGACTTCAAGGGTGTTTCCTGTTTGATATTTTGGTACCTCTGATCGAGGCTTAAGACCTTTTCTGCCAGCACGACTGAAAGTGGATTAACCGTTGTCAAAAGATATACCTTTCTTTCTTTCAAAAAAAGGTGAAACCGTTCTCTCATAGGGAAAGTTTGGTTCAGATTGGATGCCAAAGTTTAAACCTTGCCGTTATCTGATTCAAAAGTTTTAATCAAAAATTTTTAATGGGAAAACAGTGGACAATAAAGCCCATGAATACATGGAGACGAATGGCTTCAGCTGCCAGGAACAGATCCCATCTTCTCATTAAGAGTTTGAGAAAATCGCACAACTTTTGAATGGGGTAACGGTCCGTTCTGAAACTTTGTCAGCTGGTCGGGACAACTACTGCTACATTTGGGCAGAGACTGAACATGCAGTTAATTTTTGTGGGAAAAAAAAAAAAAACTGTACATTTTTTTCAAGGACATGTAGTACATGAAGAGTTTCCTCTGAGCACTTGTTAATCCAAGTGAAAAAATTGATTTGTGGTTCTCTGTATCTCTTATTCATTTGTCAAGTCTTTTATGAGAGGACCCGTATCATGCAAGAAGACCACTCATTGCTCTTTACGGTCATGGACTAGTGCATGATATGTGGAAGGGGCAATGATGTTTGGGTCCAAAAAGGTGACCTGTTGGGGGAGACTGGGCAAAACAAATCACGTGACCCTCACTGCAGCACGCACTGCAGCTTTGCGGCCAGATGTTTTCTAGACCTCTTCATTTGCTGAGCTCCTTCTTTAATCCCAATGATTGGCTCTCCACAGGCACTCTGGTGAAGTAGACATGAGGGCACATTAGAGGAGCGTACACTAGGGCCAGTTACTATGGCATAACTGGGTAGGATGGGGGCACCCAACAAGTAAAAGGAATAACTAGACCAAGCACTGTTGGTCTGTTTGTTCTTTCTACAAACTGAACACCACTCGGTCCATTCTGCCCTTCTGTTGTTTTCTTAACACTGCTATCCTTTACAAGGCTATTCATTAGAAAAAGCATGCAAATTATGCGATGCCCTATAAAGATGGAGCAATGATTACACCACTGATACGCATGCTCTACTCAAACATGCCACACAGCCTGTTGACCTCTTCACATTCAATGTTTGTTTGTTTAAAATTGTACAGTTACCTGGCTACATCCATCTGGGAAACTTTTGCCGACCCAAGTTTTTGGTGTATTAATTAACTGCTAGAGTGCGGAATATTTTTTTTACATGTGAACTCATTTCAGTTCTTAGCACTAAACATTGTCTCAATCTAATGCATCGGCATGTTTCCGTTTCTTGCAGGCTGACATCTGGTCCCTTGGGTGTACAGTTGTCGAGATGGCAACCGGAAAGACGCCCTTCATTGAGGTAACATCTCTTTGCATCTTTTTATTGGATTGCACAGGAACCCTTCCTAAAACACCGTTGGGTCAAGCGGTGCCAATCTGGAGTTTGGCTCTTTTCAGTTGGGCTCTCCACAGGCAGCCATGTTCAAGGTTGGCTGCTTCAAGATTCACCCGGAGATCCCCAGCACACTATCAGAAAAAGCGCAGAAGTTCATCAAGAGGTGCGTTAATTTATTCATTTGACTGCTTGGGGCACGTATTGAGGCTACACTAGAGAATTTTCCCGAGGCTGGCAATTGTTGAACTGTCACTTTTTCTCTTTAGGTGCTTTGAGCCAGACCCTGCCAAGAGGGCAACTGCAGCTGAACTGCTCGAAGACCCTTTTCTCACAGAGTGAGAGACACTTCTAGCAGTTTGTCTTAACTTGTAGTCCTCTCCCTCCTTTGGTGCACAAGATAAACTGTATGGTCAAAACCAAAAGTGGTTAAACCCATTACTAGGACCCTAGATGGAAAGATGAGTTGCACAAAATATGAGTACTCCTAAAACAGACCTTTGTTAAAATTCTTCTCTCGTTTAACATTAAAAGAGTAAAAAACTTTATTCAAATTCGCTATTTTTTTTAGCAAAACATCACGTGATACATTATCTTGGTTACTACTCCTTTCCTCCTGCAGTAATGCCTATCACACTCTGTAGAAGTTTGAAGAATGAAATGTAATGTTGTTTTTCTTTCCTCAAGAATGAAAGAACTCGCCTTAGAACAGAAAATAGTGGAGGTTAACCTCGAGTTATATCTCGGTTAGTGCTCACTCTGCATAGCCTGCCCGTTGAGAGCTAGCAGACGACACTCGGCACTTTTTGTTCCAGCAACGGGAGGAAAAAGAAGCCACGCCCGGCCGCACCGGACTTCAGCCGAAGCATATCGGGTGAGCCATCTCTTCGCTGGTTTTCACCAGCGTTGCTGCGAGCATGCTGCGCAGCCAAAGCATACGCTGTCAGACAACGCCACTGTGGTTGCCGACAGCTGAAGAAATGCAGAACGCGGCTTGTAACGTTCGGGTCTTTTGCATCGTGATTCATTCTTCGGCGTTCCTGTTGGCCATTGCCGCAATTCCATTGGATGCAGAGTGATGAGATGCTTGGAACCGCCCGACCCTGCGTTTCTTAAGCTGACAGTGGCTACAGGCCTGCGGTAGTTGTTGAGCTGTACAACTTCTTTCGTCGTGGGCATGTGAGGAAGGGAGCAAGCACGAGGAGGGGTTACAAAGCCAGAACTCGAAAGTTTTTGGATAAAAGGGATGGCGAGCAAAGAAAAGAGGCATGTCCAACGTCATCAGTGCCAGGAGGATGGAAAATTGGAGGGAGGAATGCCTGAAAACGGGTTCACAAACAAAGTAACGAGACCTGAAACCTGAAACCCCCCAAATATGTGTGTAAATGCTTTTTTTTGCCGGCTGGGAGGCCTGCTCCTTTTTCTTCATATAAATATGTACTACAGTGAAACCCGTTTAGAATGAACCCACATACAGCGAATTATTGTCAATGTCGAACTCACGGAAAATTCGAATAAAAATGCATGTAAAAAGGACTTTTTATAACGAACAACATATCAGCTATATCAAACTTCCCTGGGAAGGCTTCCAAAAACGCGCGAACAATCGTCTTCTAGACTGTCCCTTCCCCCAAAAAAGAACTAGGAAAGAAAGAAAATTCCAGAAACTCAAGCTGCGAACAAAATTGAGCGAAGAGAAGCGATCCAGTAGGGGAGAAAGCTAAAAAAACAAACTGCATGCGTGCAAAAAAACAAACAAAAAAATACTTTCCAGCGCTTTGTTACAAGGCGGAAGCGAAGAGATGGGAAAGAAAAAGAAACTCTCACCTTACAACGAACGCATCGTGGAAGTTCGTTGTAAATGGTTTTTGCTATATCAATCTACTTGTTATATCGAACTGATTGTAGCGTTTCCTGCTGTTTGCTATAAACGGGTTTGACTGTACTGCCATCCGCGGTCACTTGGATTTTTAGCCGCCTTTGACCTTTGAGACATACAAAATGCGATAGTGGTGCTTCTTTTCATTTTATTTCGAAGGCATGTTTGTGGGCACCGAATTCTACCGTTTAGGTTAGTGTCCGAGATGGGAACTTTTTGCCTACTTGCAGTTTTGATGATGGTCTTTCAATTCCAAGAGAACAGTACAGGAAAAGCTGTTGATCACTTGTTCAGGCTGACTGAGTTTCGCTGTGTACGTTGGCTAGAAGTGTGAGTTAGAATGCACAAACGGCAACCAGGCGGTACGGACCACGCGGTGTAGCAGGCAGCGAGTGGAGGGTCAGAATGGTAGTGGAGGTGTTTAGCTTGTCTACTCATCCGCCATGCGCAATGCCTTCTTGCCCCTGATGCACGCACGGTAGCTGTGCGACAGCGCACGGTCGCTGTTTGTGCATTCTTGCTCATGTTGCTGGCCACTGTACATTCCCCTACTGAACTGCTGAACCACAGAGGAGTGACATGTCTTGCATGGAATTTGCACAACTCCGAGACACGCACCACGGCCACAGCCGTTACGCTCAATCTCGAATGTTCGAGTGCCCTGCCAATCTGCAATGCAGCCCTCGAGTTGCATCGTTCGTTCCCTGTACTGCCCAAAGTTACCCTGTTTGGCCACTAGTTGCACTGACTAACGGCTGACCGAGTTGCTATCTGTTCAGTGCTCTGGGGCCATAGTAATCCGATCATTTCAACCGAAATCCTTCCGTTTAGTTTGGACAGTAAGGACTGTTATAACTATTACAGTTCCTGCCCAGTAGTTAAGGCAGCTGTTACAGCTTGGTTAGAAAGGTGCTTTGGTCTTGAAGTATAGCTGCTACTCGCCAATTTCTTCCTAGTATTCTTTTTTCTAAAGTTTGGGGATTTCGCTTTGACCCTTCACAGAGAAATTTCTTTGTTTGCCATTGTCGTGAGAGCCAGGTTTTTTGGGTGCGTTATACTCCTCAACTTTCACGCTGCACGGGCACCTGGTTGCAGTGCCACTTACGACAGCCCAGTTGCCGAGGCACCATTGCCGAGGCACTGCCGTCTAGGCGGGTGGTCTTACGGAAGGGCTTGGGCCGCGTCTCAGTTCCCGCAGATCGAATTCACAAAATGGACAAGCCGGAACGGATGTCTCGGTTCGCCAGCACGGGCGAGGATGGGTGAGTACCCCTGCGGACACTGGGAAGACTGCTTGGCCGTTTCCAACCTCCAAGTTCTCACTTTTTGTTTTGGCTCGATTCAAGTAGTGAACTTTTCAGCAAGAATTTGCTTACTGCGGAGTGGCGCTTGGCATGTTCTGCATCCCCTAGAGTGGTTATTTTTGCTCAAGATGTGGATAAAATAAAAATAATATTTATGCTAGAATCCAATCTGATGAGGTCTAGAGTCTGAAACTCCACTGCTTGTGTCATTATGATTATGATAGATTGATTACCTAATTAATTATAGTTAATGTCGTTCTAGTACTTATCGTGCTTTCATAGCTGAACAGGTGCCTATAAATTATGATTTTTACTTGTTTTGCTTCATCACCCTATGCAACCATCCTGACATCGAGGAAAGTGTCAATCTTTTGGAAAAGAGCGTTTGACAGATGACATCATCTAAAAAATAACTTGAGCAAAAGTACAGTTCTCTTTGCCATTTTTGGAAAACAAGCTTGAGTGAGCTTGAAGCATTTAACAAATTGAGATGGCCTCAGTCCTGATGGTATGGTATTGAAAGTATTGTACCAGCTTCCAGTATCAACATTCATATGTAAGTGACCTGTTTTTAGTAATAACATTCTGATTGTTCGTTTTACATGTTATTTGCTGTAATTACTTGAGCACTCAATGAGTTCTTGATTATCAAAGTGAATGCATGCACTGTTTGATCATTAGCACATCTTATTTACTGTAATTACTTGAGTAATTAATGCATTCTTGATTCACAAAGCCAGTGCATGTTCCATGGAGCCATGTAGGTCACCTTTCATCCCAATCGACAAAAGGCACTTAGTGACTTGTGAGACAGAGAGAGTACCTTCGCACGAAGATCCTATCTGCATAGATTGCATTTTTGCACAGAATCATTTTCTCAATCTCGTTATTTGCCTTGTACCTCGTGTAGAATGCAGTGACTGGCAGTGTCTGTGCTCTTTGGGAAATTGGATGTGCAGGTCTTGTTCATAAACATCATGTGTGAATGCTTAATTAAATATGGTAGCTAACATTATGCTGCAGGATTGATAAGCTTCCATTTCATTCAAGCTTTAAGTTGGCATTTTTAGTTGACATTTTCACATCACGCCTTAAGCCTTTTGTGAAGTAGAATAAAACCCCACTAGTTAGGGAGAGGGTCGGAGAGAAGCTCACTGGAGAAAAGCTCACCAAAGAAAAGCTCACTGTAGGTAAGCTCACTGGAGAAAAGCTTACCAATTTTTGCACATGTCCGGAGAAAAAGCGCGCCCGTCGTTTGACGGACCCAAGAAAAGCTGAAAAGCCGAAGAAAAGGTGGACATTATACAGTCAATGCTTATTTGATGAAGGGAATATTTTATTCCCACATTCTGGAACTGGACTGAAGATTTTAGAGCAGTAGTGCTACAAAAGCAGTGAGTGTCTGTACTCCATACAGGTACTGTTTCAACGCAAGTTGATAGTTTCAGCCCTCGTTCGACTTTTATGTCGACCTTTTCGTGTGACTCCTGCCACATTTAATTCTTACGTAACCTGGACGCAGGAAATATTGCCGCCCGCAGAGCCGAGAAGGCAACGCTCGGTCACGGTCTTCTAGAAGATTCCCGGTCATCCTCGCAGCAGACGTAACTTTCCCTCTGCTTTGTTATTCTCGAAAGTGCCAGTTCATCCTCGCCCCGAGCGCGCGACGCTCGAACCTTCTTTGCCGAACTCTCCAGATAGTGACGCACGGTAGATAAGCAGCTGCCCGCGACCTTGTCGAGTCAGTCCCAGTTTCGCTAGCGCTCTGTAGTGCCGCCGAACCGCCGCCCGCTTTTCTGCTACCTCGACGCTCTTTCGTTATTTATTTTTGGTTGGCACAAGTTCGCCCATTAAATCTTTATTTTCAGTTCACTGTTCGGCCTCTCGTCACCTTCATTCGTGACATTTCTGGTGGAGGTGCGGGGTAACGATGTCCCTGCACCGTACTCCTCCGAATGCCCGCAGTGCCAGTCCAACACCAAGCCCACGAGGACCCAACGAAGACACAAGCAAGACCCGATAAAGTCGCCGCAACCAAGAGCTAACCCGGAACTCGGATTTCTGCCAACCAAGATCAAGCAACCAACGAGGTCAACGATGGACCCCCAGTCGTCGCAGACCTCGACCACCGCCGGACCACGGCATACCACCTGCAGATTGACGGGCTGACGGAGAGACTAAACAAGACCATCGCCGACATGATCTCGATGTATGTGGACGTGGAACACAAGACGTGGGGTGAGGTGGTGCCCTACATCACGTTTGCGTACAACACGGCGGTTCAAGGAACCACTGGGATTACACCTTTTCAGTTGGTGCACGGCTGAAAGGTGACGACGATGCTCGACGCCGTGATGCCTCACGGCACCGACGAACGACGGCACCGACGAACGACGGCACCGACGAACGACGGCACCGACGAACGACGGCACCGACGAACGACGGCACCGACGAACGACGGCACCGACGAACGACGGCACCGACGAACGACGGCACCGACGAACTACGGCACCGACGAACTACGGCACCGACGAACTACGGCACCGACGAACTACGGCACCGACGAACTACGGCACCGACGAACTACGGCACCGACGAACGACAGCACCGACAAATGATGGCACCGACGATGCTTAGTTGGTCACCCAACGAGCAGAAGTACGCCAGCTAGCCCGCCTTCGCATAAAAGACCAGCAACGTGTCAAAGTTGGCCGGTACAACTTCCGTTGCCGAGACGGGGAGTTCCAGCCCGGAGACAGGGTGTGGGTGTGGATGCCCATTCGTCACCGCGGCCTTAGTGAGAAACTGTTAAAACGCTGCTTTGGACCCTACAAGGTTATTCGCCGCCTTGGGGACTTGAACTACGAGGTGCTCCCCGACGGAACTCGCCCATCAGGACGCCGCCAGCCACGACCCGAGGTCGTCCACGTAGTTCGACTCAAGCCGTTCTACGCGCGTTAGGATTGTGACACTGCATGTTTGTTTTGTTTCGCCGTAATTGTTTTAGCCATTTCCGTTTTCCTTTCGTTTTGCATCGGGGCGATGCACTTTTAAAGGGGGGGATAATGCCGCCCGCAGAGCCGAGAAGGCAACGCTCGGTCACGGTCTTCTAGAAGATTCCCGGTCATCCTCGCAGCAGACGTAACTTTCCCTCTGCTTTGTTATTCTCGAAAGTGCCAGTTCATCCTCGCCCCGAGCGCGCGACGCTCGAACCTTCTTTGCCGAACTCTCCAGATAGTGACGCACGGTAGATAAGCAGCTGCCCGCGACCTTGTCGAGTCAGTCCCAGTTTCGCTAGCGCTCTGTAGTGCCGCCGAACCGCCGCCCGCTTTTCTGCTACCTCGACGCTCTTTCGTTATTTATTTTTGGTTGGCACAAGTTCGCCCATTAAATCTTTATTTTCAGTTCACTGTTCGGCCTCTCGTCACCTTCATTCGTGACAATATCAACAATCTTTATTTGCTTATCAGAAGAGGTTAGAAGTGCGCTTACCTTCCTTAATGATGAAATGTGAAGATATGGCAGTGCAGTGTCGGCTACTACTTACATGTAAGATACAGTCTAGGAACTTAAACAAGTTGCAGCTTACTACACCGGTTATATGTTTCCCCGGCCATCTTTCAATTACCGTTTTATAGTTGTTTTTTTTGTTTTTTTTTCATGCAACTCGTGACATGTATAAGTAGGATTCTGTGCTTTTGGATCACACGGTCGGTTGTCTTGAGGAGAGGCCTCTCCAGTTTTCTTAGAGCGCAGCTTTTAGGTGCCCGTTTCCGCATATAGCGACGTCGCCGTCAGCAGAGCCCCGCTAAATTTAGCATTAAAACTGACGTCACATGACCTCAACACCAATTCAGTTTCCCTGCTAAATTTAGCGAGAAATTGAATTGGTTGAGGTCACATGACATCAATTTTCCCACTAAATCTAGTGGAGAAACTGTGGGTGGAGGGGAGGGGAGGGTGCAGAGGAGGATGGGAGGGTATGCAGGAGGAGGAGGGAGGGTACACAGGAGGAAGAGGGAGGGTACAGAGGAGAAGGATGGGAGGGTACACAGGAGGAAGAGGGATAGTACTGAGGAGAAGGAGGAGGAGGGAGAGGAGGAGGGGCATACCCTTCCCTCCTCCTCCTCAAGAGCTGCACTCTAATTTCACATTACAAAGATTTGTAAACGTCTTTCATTTTTTCAAATCTCGGACTATTGGCAAAAAAAGGTTCACCATTTATCTCGCTAAGTTTTGTGCAGGGCAACAAGTCGTCATTTTGAATCACGACAACAGCCAAATGTTCTACTTTGCAGTCTGCAGTTCTTAGAGGAAGGCGGTGTTGTGCTTATATAACAAGGAAAGCTACGATCACAGAAGGGAGGGGGCAGACTAAAGGTTCTATCTCACCACTCTCCCCCGGCAACTGCAGTTTGGAGCGGTGGAGTGGGATGGGAAGAAAACAAGCTTTTCATAGACTATGCCAAGGATTTCAGTGATTTTAAAGCATCAGCGTTTATTAAACAAAAACTTTGTTTGAAGCGTTGTTGTAGGACAATTATTATTATTAGTGACAAGGGCAAGAATGCCCAATTCAGCTGAAGAAATATTCGATACAGGTGAGTTCTTAAGAATTTAGGGAAGGTTTCTGTCCGGATAACAGTTATTTTGGAGCACAGCTGTTGGGCGTTTGTTTTCGCGTATAGCGGCGTCGCCCTTGGCGTAACCAACCCCGCTAAATTTAGGGGGAAATTGAATTGCTGTTGAAGTCACATGACGTCAATTTTCCCACTAAATCTAGTGGAGAAACTGAACTTGTTCATGGGTGACGTGACACAGTCATATGACGACATTTTGCCCGCTAAATTTAGCGGGGAAACTGAATACGTGTTGACGTCACGTGGCATCGGTTTTCCAGCTAAATTTAATGGGGAAACTGTGGGAGGAGGATAGGGTACAGAGGAGGAGGGGAGGGTATGGAGGAGGAGGGGAGGGTATGGAGGAGGAGGGGAGAGAGGAAAAGGAAGAGGAGGAGGAGGGCTGGGTATGGGGGCATACCCTCCCCTCCTTCTCCTCGAGAGCCGCACTCTAATTTCGCATTGCAGAGATTTGTAAACTTCCTTAATTTTGTTTATATTGAATCTTCAAAAATTGTGCACACAGCAAAATTAAAATCTGGATTTCGGAGAATCGGTAATCTGTCGTGAATAAACACCGATAAAGTAAACTCCGAAAAACACCCTCAGAATTTTGCGAGAAATAAACTCTGAAAACACGGTACCCAATGTATAAGCTATGAGTGAAAAAAGTATTTCTCTCCTAGTTAAGTGTGAAACAACTGTGGAGCATCCAAAGTGTGAAGGTATTTTTGTTGAGTGGGTGCTCGGTTCACAGACTCATAGAAGAGCTTTTTTCTGCGTCCAAACTGTTTTGCAGTGAGCTTTTTTCCGGTGGTCTTTTCTCCGCTGTCCAGTTAGAAAAGCTTTTTCCAACTACAGCATTTGCAAGTTTGCTTGTTGTAGTGCTTTATTTGTAAAAAAGAGTAGACCATTTAAAACAAAGCCTTGTTTTGTTTTTAACTGGCGGTTCACTTAGAAGCTGTGTTTATAGTTTTGTTTTGTTATAGCATGCTGCTCTTTAGTTGTGTGTGTGATTTTATAGTTTTTGTTTTGTAGCTGCTTGACTCATGTATCCCACAACATTGTACTGAGCAGTCTTGAGCCCACTCCACTGTCACACTTTTGGTGGCATATGGCCAACTACATTGTACTGACAATAGTTGCTCTAGTCTATAAACTTTTTCTCTTTTGGACATCGCCTGCAGGGCCTTTAGTAAAGTTATATGTTAATTTGGCAAATACTTTACACTTAGTAATTGCCAATGGGCCCATAATCATGATCTAAATATGTATGCTATGTTGCATGTAATCTACTTTTATGTGAAACATTGCTAATACTTTAGGGCCCATATTTTTTGCTTAATTTAACTTAATTTTACTTTGCGGCATTCAGATCTGCATTTTTGCCACTCAATAAGGATGTACTCCTACTCTTTCATTCGATGTCCGTGTCACAATTTTTGAAGTTACTGCGAGTTGATCGGAGAACAGTGGGAACCATGAGTTTTGCAGGGTGCTTCTACTAATCATTGCTTTGTTGTGTTGTCAGCATGGCAGGTTGTGTGCTGCTTGCATGTGTTATTAACCTGTGTTTTTTTGTTCTGTTTCTTTTTTGGTCCACCCTCCCCCTTCTCTTTGGTATTGCTCCCCTTTGACCCCTTCCCCAAACATTAAATCTAATTTGGAAAAAAAACACTAAAAACTCTTGCCACCCTCACACCAGGACATCCTTTCTTCTTAGCTCGGCCACAGCTACAAGTCCGACAGAAGCAATTCCAAGGTCACCGTCAACGTTTTCTTTCGGGTACTGTAATCTCCTTGTTTATTCATGCGTGGTTTGTGAAGCAACATTCTTAGGTTTAGGTCAGCACACTTTCTCCTCCCTGAGAAGTAGTGTTCCTTTGGTAGGTTGTGGGCATATACGACTGTGGACAGAGACCATCCATGGTCGTTCCATGTTTCCCTTGGTGTTGATAGTACTTTATGACGACGCAACAATGCCAATGGCATGGTCGTGCCCACTGGTACCAAATTGATTAATATTTTTGCATTTTAGTCGGCACCTAACACATAATCCACGAAGGCAAATTTTGGTAAAAAAAAAGATTTTTGTTTTAGATTGTTTGCACCACGCGCATAATGGGTGCCTGGTGCATACTCTGCCCGTAAAAAATTCTCGTGTGTAGCACATCTTGAAAAATGCCTGTTTAATTAATGCAGAGAAGCTTGTATTAAGCAAAAATTATAACTAACATAATCTGTCATAGCAGGGGTTCTCAAACATTTTGGTCTCACGGGACCCCAGGAAGCCTCAAAAACTGCCGCGGAACCCTCCCCCCCTCCCCCCCTCTATATTTGCCGACCGAGAAGCAACAGATGCACAATTGTAGGCAGTTTTGCTTGTGTTGCTTCCCATATATTCCCACTATATCAATCGCAATGGCTGTACAAAGTGAGATGAAGGTGCTTTGCATGGTCCTGCCGCACAGCCTGCGGCATGGGGGAGGGGGGGGGGTTGCAATTTGGGTGTTCGCGGAACCCATGAGACCAGCTCGTGGAACCCCTGTGTTCCCCGGAACCCAGTTTGAGAACTCCTGTGTCATAGAATAAAAAAAGCCATGTCTCGCTATGATGAACCACCTTGAAAAAACAACTTTTTATATAGTCTGCACCTGTAGACAATCTGCATTGCATAAAATTTCAACTTCTAAACATTTATAGTTTGCGTGTTATAGTCTGGAAAATTTGGTATGAAAATGTGGTTGTTGTATCAGTGGTGTCTGATAAGGGAGTTGCACTTGCACTGTTCATTTGCAAAATTTGGATTTCGCAAAATAAGGCAGCAGAAGCGTTGAAGGGGCACTACGATTTCTAAAGCATCACTCATACATTCATATCTCATGGCCGTATTTTTGGAAAAGAATTGCACGATCAAGCGAGGACTGTGACATCACAATCCTCCTGGGCAGTTGAGAATGAGTGGAAGTGGCCTTGCTTCTTTCCTCCTCGCTTCAGTTCACCTGCTCAAGGGGATGAAGCGAAGATTAGACGGAATAAGAATCGTGACGTGGCATGTCTCGTTGGCCTCGTCAAGTGTGTTCAATTGCGCACTTTTCCAAAAATACGGTCAACCATTAGAGCTATCACTGAATGAGTGATGCTTTTGGGTTTTACAGCGTCCCGCCTATTGCTCTAGCCTTGTTTTGTGAGCTGCTAATTTCAGCTCAGCATCCCTTTAAGTCAAACATACTCTGATTGCTCAGAACTCATTTTGGAGTTCCTGTGGGTACCAGTGAATACTGCTTTGACTAAGTGCTTGTCCTCATCATGCCACTTCCGGCAGATTGGGGAACCCCATCTTTTTGAGTTGGTATGGTAATGCACGGCTAGCTTTCTTCAATTTTAATGTGTGCCACAGTACTGTTGCTTCTTCCACAATTGCTTTGACATTTATCAATCCAAAAATGTGTCTTGCATATGACAATTTTGTCAGATATTACTATGACCAAAGCATTTTTTATGGTCCCTGAAAGACACCTCTCCAACAAGAAGTTGGGAGAGAAAACAACCGCCCGTGACATACATTGTATCACCGTTGAGCGTGTTTTTCGTGGCTACACAATACTTACGTTCAGTATTCTTGTTGAACTGTTTTATTTATATCTCTTTTGGTTTTGTTCAGTTCTTGAAGTAGATTTCTTTTTGTGAACTTCTCCAGTTTTTAGATAAGTGATAAAATAATTATGGAGATTCAATTTGTGGCGAAAAACTTTCCAGATAATCGACCTTGGGCCCACGAAGGTTTGCCACAAATACCACAGTTCTCGCTTTTATTCTTACTTTTTTTTGTTAGCAAATAAGCTTGAGAAGTGAGTTACACTCTGTCGTGAAGTTTCCTTATCAGCCTCCATCTTGCTCCTTGCCGTTTGACCCGAACAAGGCCTCGTGCCCCCATTACACATAATTTCTGCCAAAAGTGGACCTGGTGCTTCTTTGCCGCTCACTATGTTCGTTTTACCCGCACCTCCCACAATGACTACACTCCGTGCCCGCCACTGTACTTGGTTAACGAGTGCAGCTCATCTCGAAGCACAACCGGAACTTTCCATTCAACCACACTTCTGTGCGCTTCACTACACTTCTCAGCACCGGTGCAAGCTGGTGCGGGTAAATCGAACAAGCTCTTGCAGCACTTGAGAGCGGTGGTACGAGGGAAAAACGGGCTTACGGGATTTGGGTTCTCAGCTCGGAGACTTCGGAGAGCGGCATGCGTCGCTGCAGCTCGGGGCTGCTGAGTCCACCCGTGGACGGCTGCAGCACGGACCAGGAGTCCGGGGGCTTCTACCTGCTCAAGAAGGACTCGCAGCGGCGACAGACCATCCTCAGGGTGCTGGAAGAAGACGCTGACACGGCAAGTCGCCTTTTGCCCTTCCCTAGGCTCGGAACACTTCGGGCGTGCGTCTTTCTCGTTCACCGGGAGGGGATGTCTCTGGCCCCTAAAGGCCAGTTCATGTGTGCCTCTCAGCGCCAAGATAATGCAGTCGGTGCTGCATCGGCGCTATTGTTCCCGCCGATTCAGCACTGAGTCAGCACTGCACTGCGCATGTAAGCTGAAAAAGGCGAGGTCAACTGCAACAGACTGTCGCTACAGTGCTGATATATAGCATAAAGTCGGCACCGTGTCTATAGCGCAAAGTTAACACAGCTGTATGGGTGAACATGCCCCAGTGCATGTACGGGCGGAAGAGAGCAAATGGCTAGAATTGTCGGGTGCCTTCAATTCGACTGGGAACACGACTGGGGATCGTTAAGAAAATCGAGGAAAAGAGTAGCTTGTTTTTTCCTGCATTTCTTTTGCGCAAAAGTTGGGGCGAAAAAAAAGAGTGCAGAATGGTGGGGACGCGGGAGAGGAATGCACACAAAACCTGAGCACAGACTTGCAGCTGTAATGCATTCCAGTTAAGAAAAAGGAAGACGAAACACAATGGAGGATGGTACATGCCGATAGAGTGGGAAACACGGGTGTCAGGTTGGTTTGGAGTAGTGGGCGAGATGGGAGGCGAGCGGGTTGCTTTCGCGTCAGTCATGGCTGCCCCGATCACATCGAGGCCTCTGGCATTCTCTGGACTGTTTGTGACGACCGAATCTGAAGGCGGTGAGAACCCTAAAGCCGGCACATACTCAGACCAAGTTCCGCAATAGCAGACGGCCGTCGCAGTTTGTTGCTGAGTTTCAGCTCAGTTCCTGCACTCTGGGACTTTGATCCTCTCTTCAGTTTCTTTTTCTGTTGTCAGGAAATCATGACAGCAAGCAACATTGCTGCATGCATTCTTTTCTTAGTTTTTTTTTTTAAATTTGGAATACTATATTACAGACATAAGTCTTTGCTTGTGCATTGTGTGTGTACTTTCGTGTCCCTGTTATTTTGTGTGCCATTTGAAACCGTGTCTTCTGTTTGCCAATTATCCCAGTTTGCCACCTTACCTCCATTAGGTATGCGAGGGAGTATGCCCTTTTGTTTTTAAATGGACCACGTCTGTTATGGTTTGTCAGTCGTTGCTAATTACATCGGTGTCTGTGGATATTCCATCTGTGACTATATTTCAGCCCATATAAGGGCTGCAGAGGCCGAGTCACTGTATCGGTGCTGTTAAAGGGGTACTTCACCGTTTTTTTCATTGTCTCCGATTTGCTTGAAATTTTGCTAAACTAACCAACGAACATTGCTAAAATAGTATCCCAAATGTTAGGTCAAAATATTGTTTTTTCGCGAAGTTATTGAATTTACAGTTTTGGTCTTCACCATGTTTTTCAAACCGAAAGTCTCTACTGGCAACAACAACAAAGTGACGTCAGTGGAAGGCAGGGGTTAACGTTTTGGACTGCAAAAGTTGTTCCCAACGGATTTGAAGCAGTTTCTTGGTGTCAAATGAGTGCTTTGGAAGCTCGCTTCCGTATCCGCGCTCCAGCACGGAACAAATGATTGGCATATTCTATTTTTTGACTACTTGCTCGACTGGCAAGCCTGCCTGCCACTGACATCACGGCACTGAAAAGTGCGCGAATATTTGAATATTGGTTTTCGCACCATTTTCATTTGCCGATTTCACAATACCTATTATGAATTTCGCGATGCCAAATAGCATACCGGAAAGGCTAAAGGCCGGGGAGTCAGAAAATATAGTTAGTTGAGGTAGCTCAAAAAATCGGTGGAGTACCCCTTTAATGACGGTTAATAATAATGTTGCTGAAATAGTCGAGGATCCCCTGTAAAGATGGGGCAACATCTAAATTGAATTATGGAAGTGCCCAAACATTATTGCTGAGTGACTTTGGTGATTCGTCTTCATCAGATCTGTGACATTTGGATGAGCAAGCTGTTGCAGGACATTGGCAGTGACTTGGTGATATCCAAAGTAAGTCTGTCTTGCTAGTTGTCTGCTCACTCTGGGAGTAGTGTGTTCTGCGAAAGACGTTGACAACATTGGCGACACGGTGTTGCAGGAACAACTGCAGTCTCTGCTGAATGGCTTCAAAAGCTACATTCCTGAGCAAAATAAGACTGGACTTCAGCATGCAATAGGTAGGTGAAATGGTTTGGTCCTCTTGAGATGTGACATGTCAGTGCAAATCTGCATCGCAGCAAGGTTTCACCTTGAGCGTTGAGGTGGTACCAGTTGGATTTGGTACCTGCTGATAATGTCTGAGTGTGCATTGGATTGTTTGTTTGCTCACGTTGCTTACTGAATGTCACAGTAGCTAGATCACGCATACTTTATATGTCCCCACATTGGCCCTTTATATTGTCACAAATATTGAAATGAGGGATGTTTGTGGCATACGAAGCTGTGAAGTCCCAAATGAACACTTAACCCAAAACATTGTCCCATCCTATATTTCTGACTAAATACCCATAGAGTGAAAAGCTTTGGAATGTTGCTTACCCCATCAAGTCCATGCGATGTTCAGCTAGGCACTCTCCAGCTGCCATGCTTTCAGTTCGGAGCGAATGTTCTGGGGTTCCAAGCCTGGTGAATTAGAGCGAAATTCTGTGCCATGCCTTCAATGAGACAAAGCGCGCTTATCGCAATGCTAAATGAGGGAAACATGTGAAATTAAAAATTGCCACGAGCAGTTTCCTTTAAACATACCTCATTAACAGCTTCATAGGTCAGCCCATTGTGTTAATTAAAATGAGGAAATATTAAATATAGGAGTAGCCAGTGCCGCTAAAGTGGCAGCCAATGTCTACTTTTTATTAATTTTTTCTTAGTTATTAAAGAAGAAAAATAAATATAGCAAGTAAGAAAACAAAAGACCACTTGAGTGAACATATAGTGCTACTGAATCCTAATGAGCACATGCAACTGATTGCATGCATCACTCTGTTAAGTGGTAGCTTGTGCCACCTAGCTTACGGCAGCATTGATAACCGTTGCTTGCTTTGCTATGAGATAGTGGGAAAGAAAGAATCTGATCTTTTTTTCCCCATTTTGTTTTTTGGGATTTCTTGGGTATTTTACATCTGTCGACATTAAAAGTATTTCGTGGGAAAAATATTACCACTCATTCTATTTGTCTTCACCTTGCCCACAAAGACCCGTCATAAGATAAGAAGTCTGTCTTTATGCTCACATTTCCTACATAGCAGACAATGCTGTCAAAACTACTGGTGCGAGCATGTGGCTTGATCTAGCGTCATGTTTCCATGAAAGCGCGTGGAAAAAAGATGGAAAAAGACCTCCAGTACAGCATTGTTTGCTATGTACAAAACGAAATATGGTAATCCCTCGTTAAAACAAATTCGCTTTTTTTGAAGTTCAACATGGTCCCGACCGAAATGCATGCATTTTGAATCAGATTATTCTAAGTGTATCGGCGGCCGACTGCGCTTATTACGAAGGCCTAGGTGCCAAAAGGGCGCTAGCCCACACAGAGGTGCACGGAGACCCTTGTGTTCCCTCCCCCTTCTCCCCCGAGGCAGACAGCCAACTAAGCAAACATAAAGAAAAAAAAAATGGAACAAACAGGTGACGGAGGGCAGAGCGCGCAGAGCATTGCTTCCGATGCTGATGTGCCGACTCGGGCAGGGAGCAGCGTCCACGTTCCGACGCGACTCATGGCATCTGCAACCGATGCTGCCCGACTCCTGTCGGAATTGGGTCAAGGGAGCGATGGAGCCAATGGAGCCTGGAAAAGACCATCCCTCTGGGAGCCTCCAATGTGTGCCTATACTGCCCATGGGTCGCGAAATGGGCATATGCAGCGCCAATTGAATCCCCTGAGGTTTGATGGCGGTACTAAAATCAAGATGGCGGCCCACCCGGAACCCTAGGGCGGCGCCATCTTATTTGGGCCTGGGACGGCCATATTGAATAGGACATTTTTAATCGGCCCACCCCCTCTCCCCGCCTTCCCCCTCCTCCCTGGTTCTGCTCGTTGCCGGGGTTTTCGGGCTCTTGCAGTATTGCTCTTTGTTTGTTTGCACACTCAAAAGATGAGCAATAAAATATGTGATCGTCGTTTTTTTGCACTTTTTATTAAACAGAATGTTGGTACAGTGACTTACAAAAATCTTCTATGTGATGGGCAGCGGGGTCCAGTCTCCTGCCATGTGCTAAGCTTGGCTGAATAGGGTTGCTGTCTTCACAGAGTTGCCCAGAATGCAAATCACCACGTTCATCATCATGCTATTTTTTTGGCTCGTCTTTTTTTTTTTAATTGCTGCTTATATAAAATATTTTTGCCGTCCCGTTGACTTCGTAATGAGGGTATTCGCTAAATTTGATTTCTGTCTTCCTCCTTTTTTTAAAATCTTTGTGCAAAAAAAAAAAAAAAAAGATGGTGAAGGAAAAGAGAAAGGAAGGTAGCTGCAGTTGTAAGTAATAACTTTTTATTTTATTATCGCTTTGAATGACAAGTGTTTCTGTGTGTCCTGCAGGAAAGCTGAAGCAGGAGGTACATCATGACGGCAGAGCCATTGGCCAGCTGGGGGTGGCCCTGTACTTGTTCCAGAGCGCTGTGAGTGGTCTAGCTCCACTGGAAGGCGGGGGGCAAGTCTTTGCAGAACTCACATTGCTGATTTTGTTTACAAAGAGCTAGGTCCTATCTCTGAGTAAATGGAAATGTGGCTCTTTGTTTCTGTACAGTTATGTAGAAATAATTTCAGAGGTCCTGCAGATCCTTGAGATCCTTGAGTGCTTTAAATTTAGAGGTTGGCGTATGCTCCTTTAAAATATGGTACATGCACCAACTTTCAACACCAACTTTCAACAGTTCCCTTTTGTTGGTTTATGGCGCGTTTCTCTGCCACATGCTCTGGGGGTGCGACCTACAGACTGACCAGACTCAGATTTTACGAAGGAAAATTAGTTTTTTTGCAAGTTCTGCAGCTGGTCGTTCATTTTAAGAAGCCGCACCATGATCTGTTTGCAGTATTCAATGTAGCTGTAGCAAGGAGGAGAAGAGAGCTGGGGAAATCATTTTTCCTCTTTCATTGTTAAGCCTTGTTCTTTTTCTTTGTCAGGAAGTATGGTCTAGTCCGTCACACTTGCATAGAAGAATGTTTTCTTTAAACTTTTAGATTTTTAACTTTTAAACTGGGCGTGTGTATCCCTCAATGATTTCGTCGGCAAATACTTTACGCCATGCTGCAGCCTTCTGGCAAATGAGAATGTCTTGTGTTCCTGAAGTGATTTCTTTGTTATAAGTTGAGACACACTTGTCCTATATATTCCAGGCTGTATGTATCACTAGGGCTTGCCCTTGGTCTGTTTTTGCTGCAGTGACAGAAATCTCTTTGTTTTGAGTGGCCACCTACAACCTGTCCAACATTGTGGTGGTGCAGGTGAACGAAGTGCTGCGCAACCAGAGCATCAAGCCACACTGGATGTTTGCCCTCGACAGCCTGGTGATGAACGCCGCACAGGTGGCCAGTGAGATACTCTCTCCTGGTGAGCCTTCTTTTGTTCACTAGGACCATAGATCTCACATAATGAACCTAAAGAAAAAGGCCCATAATGTCCACGTGCAAAAATACCACCTGCAAAGTGGTACTTTCTGCAAAATCCTGAGCAAGTGTCCTCTCAACACTTGAAAATAATGTGTAAAACTGGGGGATGGGTGCTCCTTAGGGCTACAATGTGTAAGGATACATCCTTTGTGTATTTTTCGAATGTTACGAAATTGAGGGGTGGGCGCTTATTGTAGAATGGACGGATGTTCGGTATTTTACAGTAGTCAAGGAAACACAGGTGTCGGGGCACTTTTCAGAAGAAAACTAAAGTTGACCATCACTTGCTCAACTTCGGTTTATCGTTGCAAAGCAAACACACCTAACGTATTGCTTGCTTTTTTTTTCCCCCCTGTTTGTCTGTTGCCCTCTTCCTTGTTCTTTCTCTCAGGACCAGTGATGTTAGTGCTTACATTTTGCCACTCTCCACTCTCGTCTTTGACTCCCTGGCTAGGATGATGGGATAATAAAGGCTCAGCTTGTAGGAACATGCCAATTCAGTTAATAGCTGCAGCCAATGTTACTAGAATACTCAGGTGGGAAACTGCCATAGGAGCCTGCATTAAAAAAGTGCCTCTGATCAGTACTCAAGAACCAAACTAAACGCAATTGCAACGCTGCCATTTCTCCCGCTGCGGGCACTCTGGGAACGGCACGGCTGCACCTATTGGTTCAGGTCAAGTCGCGCAAGGGCCGGTGGCACCTTCTCGCAGGGCCATTTCGCAGTAGCCATAGTATCGCATTCGATAGCGTCCTTTGTTGGGGTACAGTTTTGGCTTTGATCGGCCATTTTGGCGCCGAAACATCTGCAGTGGAAGGGGGCTGCCAACCGGTCTCCCAAGTAGAGGCACCGCGATTAATCACAGAAGTTAGGATGCACCCAGGTCAGGACACGGAACCTGAAGTTACCATTGAGATATGGTTGTATAAAAACAAAACTAATTGTGCCACACAACCCTGTAAACTAAAGTTTTATGAAAACATCATCTCCAATAATCTAATCTAAGATACTAATCTCCAAGACAATATCCTACAAAAAGAGCTTTCTTTGTTTGTTTTTACGCAGAAACATGCTTTCTAAAAGCCCGCTCATACACTTGCAACATCTTAGAACCGATTGCCTGGGAACCTCTTAATATCGCTTGTGACGAGAGGATACACTGGAGCCATCTATTGGGTAGCAGTGTAAACTTGGAGGTCCGACATATTTTCTATTTCTCTCGCACATTATCCTTTCTTTCTTCACTTGAAAAACTTTTGTCAACGTTATAAACTAGCCTTTCTCATAGGTATTACACACATTTGACCTCAGAAATTCCTCAAAACCTTCGCTCTTGTGAAATGCAGTTCCAGGGTCACCGCATAGATGGCGCCAGCATGCCAGTGTGTTCTCTCGTCCTAAGAACTTTTAAGAGGTTTCAACAGGTCTCGTCTTTCTCGGTCGTACTCCGTTGCAAGTGAACGGGCCTTAAAAGCTTATGGTGACCACAGTGAAGAAGAAATATTGAGCTGCCATCTTAGCACCTCGAGCCCAGGAGTTTTGGTACTCTGGGAACATTCAGTGACTCTAGCAGTAGCCATATGAAGCAACTTTCATGTTTTAACTCGTTGCTAAAGGGTGGTGCTGTTATTTTATTTAGTTTGGTCTCGGTGGATGCGAGCAGTGCAGGTTTCAAGGGCGAGTTTCCCAACTGAGCGTTTTAGTAACTTTGGTTTCAACCAACGAAATCTAGCAAAGGAAAGGTTGCTGTACAGCCACATCACATCTCAATCATCTAGTACAATCAAATAAATTGAATTAGTGTCTGTAGCATATATATAACTTTACAGTGAAGAACAGCAAAATTAAGTGTGTGCAGCAAAGCGTCAGGTTGATCTAGTTGGTACATTACAATGAAAGAAAATAGAATGAAGCACAAATTAATACGCAGGGACAAATTTTTTTCAAAAATATTAGAAATTTTAATAAACTTTTAAATTCATCGCGCACGCAATAATCTCTGCTCCAAGAGTATCTCAGAAAGTTCTCAGTGCAGTAATATAACTAATAAAGGAAAAGAAAGAGGTCAAGCTTGAAATCCCCAACAGGGTATTTCAAGCTGCACCTTTGCATTAATTGCATTATCAACAAAGAAATAGGTCATTTTCTCACGCTGGCCGCATTGGTGGCGCATAAGTTGAAAGCTAAATTTCTGCCAAACTTGCTGTTTGTGCCCTTTTTCATTTCAGGAATGTCCCCAAGACATCTATTTTTTTCGTGACAATTAAAAATCTGACTTTTTTACTCCAATTGATTTGAGACAAAATCACTTGTATAAACTTATTTTATTTTGTCTGGCTTCACTAAGGATTCATTTAGAATGTGGTAGCTGAACTTAATTTTGTTCACTGGTTTCTACGGGAAATGTTAGCTTCTATAGTTGAGTTTGGTTATCTGGCCTGTTCGCTTCATCTGTTCAATTTACAACCACTTACTAACTCTACTGGATGACGGGTCTCGCACACGAGCACAACTGTACTTTATATTTTTGTGCCAAGTAATCTTTTATTAGTAGTACTATTACCATATTTTCCGGACTGTGGGCTGCGCACGGTGCATTGTCTGCAGGAGACAACTTGGGGTCAAAAGTTTGTGGACACCTTAAGCACTTCTTATGAGTTGTGAATGCAAAAGCATGAATGTTCTTCCGCTCCCTTAGTTCATCTGCGGTGTACTGGTGTGGACGGCCACGTTTTGCTATTGCAGAAATTAGCGGCCGACGACCGAGCACACGCTCTTGTGAAGTGCCCGCAGCGCGCTGACCTCAGCCATGCAGCCTCTCCGGAGTTTGCTCGAGCATGGTGTGCGGCCAGGCTTGCGCCTCTTACCGGCAGCTGGGCCGCTGTGTGCGCTGCACCGCCATGGAGAGGGCTTCTCTGGTGGCGTTCCTTGGAACTACACCGCGCGAGAGCCAATGGGAACCTTGTTCCTCGAAACTGACGCGTGCCAGCCGAAGGGAGCCTATCCATCAGATTTCTGCTACAGACGACAGGCTTCGCTCCATTTGGGCAGGGGAAGGTGTCATTTGGCACAGCTTCAAAAGCTGATGACATCAGTTCACTCCATAAGACAGTTAATGCTTTCGCATTAAAAATAAAAGTTTTTGCTTAGGTAGTTCGCTTCCGGTGCATAGTCCGCGGACCGTGCATACTAAGTCCATACTTAGTGCCTGGTCTGAATGGAAAAATGATCATACACAGCACACCTTGACAAATGTCTGCTGTATTAGCTCACAAAGGAGCTTGTTTCATACACCAAAACATTAATATACTCCGTTATTTATAAAATCCTTCACGTCTTGTCACAGTGAATAATCTTGAAAAAAAATCCTCGCATAGTCCGCACGTGTTAATAGTCCACACTGGGTAAAATTCCAACTTTTAAACAAGTAGAGTCCGTGGACTAAAGTCCAGAAAATATGATTTTATGATTTGTGCTTAGAACCTCTAATCGCACTAGGTTTGAGATTGTGGTCTAAATCAGTCGAGAGGCGGTAAGGGGCGGTTCGAGACGGAGATGGAGGGAGGCGAGGAGCACTCTCAAACCGAAACTTTCCTCTCGGCGGCAGGCCAAGAGGACCCCGAGGAGAACGAGCTGGAAGATGCGGAGTCCACCTCGGGCGTGTCGACCATCAACTCGGCCAAGTCTCCGAGCGCGACGCAGAAGCAGCTGGCCAACCTGGCCCGAGACTACGCCCTCCCCTCGGGGGAAGCCCAGAGGTGAGCATCGGCAGTTCGCTCGCGTAGGCAGTGGAGCTGCACCCGGAAGTGGTGTCGCCATGTACACTTGGGGCACTGTTTGTGCGAACGAGTGATTGCTGATTTCTCCTGTTTTAAAGCGACAGCTTTACGGGCGACGCATTGCAGAGATTTCAACTTTGTCCGTTGTCGTCGACGCGCGCAAAGAAGAGAAAACTTTTTTCTCTCTGCTCTTGGCGCGAGGCCAGGGAAGTTGGATTTTCCCATCGGCCGCACAGCGCAGAGAGAGAAGAGCGGAAAGCCCCGACATTCCGCCAGTAACGACGCAACAAAGGGGGAGTCTTCCTGTCATCTACTTGGAAGACTTGTTTTCAAACATTCCTGGCGTTATGCGAAATCCTCTTTTGGCAGTATCCAGTTGCTACGCGTAATGTTGAATGGTTTTAGAAATTTCCATCGCACTTATCCCTTTACTTCATGGATGAATGGTGCCGGTCATCAGTGGCATATGCGACGCCAACCACGACGGCTATGAGAATTAACCACATCGCACCAGCGTCCTCGAGTATGTGACGACACCATTCCACCCGCATTGAGCAACCATTTTACAGCTATCCCTTTCATTTCTTCACACATTGTAAGCGAAAGATATGAATTTTTTTTTTTTTTTTTGAAACCGAAAGGTTGTCATCAAAAACTACTATGGTATAAACTCATCATAGCAGACCTTGATAGTGATGAAGAATTTTGTTGCAAAAGGTGTATGCAGACTGGAGGTACTCTTACTATAAAGACTTTGACATGGATTACGACTAGTCTGCTCTAACCAGTGAAACTGATGAAATGTGCAGATATATTAGAATATAACTGGTGTGTTGAAACTTCCAAACTTTGAAAGGTAGGCTCAAATGGTAGTCTTGAAACAAAGCTTGCGAAGCACTGAGCCTGATGACAGCTGTTCACAAAACGGATGCCACTGCTGCCAAACCAAGGCCGCGTGATGTCCGAAATAATGACTGCTGCCAAAGAGTCCGCCATAATAAAATAATAAACCAGTTGCAAACTACGTAATATACTCCATTATATCCGAATGTAATGTAATAACAAAATCTGTAATAGGCAAAGTTGGCTGAATGTCATAGATAGGAGGGCCAACCAAACTTCACAAATTGGTATGTTATAACATAATGTCTGCTGCGAATGTCGAACGCCTTCTGGTGTGCTTTTGCTGTGCGTGCATGCGTGAGACTCGCGGGGCTTTTGCTGTGCGTGCATGCGTGAGGCTCGCGGGTGCGTGGGACTCGCGGGGGGGTTTTGGACAGTAGGAAGTTCACGCCGAAAGCGGCACAACTAAAGCTCCTTTCTGCCGTTCTCATTCCGTCTGGTAGTATGGTGCAGTGGAAAGCGCAAGATTCAGGGACTAACCATAGCGGTAAACTTTTACGCTCATTAATGACACGCTTCAGCAAAATGTGAAAAAGCACCAGCGTCGCGTTCGCACAGCAGTGTCGTGCAGTGCACATGCTGTGATGTTCCCCTTCCAGAAATTTTATTCAGGGGTCTGCAGGTGAAAGTATTGACTGGCTTCCATACTTGAGCTCGCTCTCAAAATGTCCGGAAAAATTGGTGCTGGCATGTAGCGATCTCAAATTTTCTCTAAATGTGTGTTTCAGTGGTGTACTTTACCTCGTGAGATTTCAAGGCGCAGCTCTCTTCCTACAAAAAATCAGATCAACAAACTTGCTAGGGTCAATGGTGGATGTTGATGCAGACAACCGAGTTAGTTGCTACCCACATAGTGTTTTTTGGTCACAATAACGTGACGAACGCGAGCGCGTACGCAGACGCATTTGCATGGGGCGATGGATGGTCCCCGCTGTCGTTGCGTTCTCAGTATTGCTAGGCTACACAAACTGCCGCATGTAGAGATACCATTAACGCAGATATAATGCAACAGTTGTTAAATTAACAAATAAATGATTAAAATTAACCTATAATGTCATAGAAATTCGACTTTTATTTTTAGGTTGCATATAAACTTGCCTAAACCGTGCTAATATCCCAGTGCATGGAACTGCATGCTGAGTCAGCTGCGTCATCAGTTGTGTGTTGTGCGCTGTTGTTCACTTGCAGACTCAAACGCTCGTTCCAACGTCAGCTGCAGCTCGTTCACACTTTTGCCTTGGTAGTTCACTGTGATTGAAACTCGCCGCAGCCTCCTTTATAGAACGAGGAAAAAGTTGCTCCTGCTTAGAAGCACGCTTGTGCTGAAGCCGGTGCAAACTCAAGATCAGCCAACCTGGATGCATTCTGTGTGACAAAACACTAAAAGGACACAAGCCTGACGTCACCCATGCATTGCACGCGATTCGCCTGAAAACTAAACTGGTGAACCATACTTGTACAATGGGTAATTTTTTTCTACTTCGCGGGCACAACAACTTCGGCAAGGGAGGAGAGGTGGGGCCACTGAAGACTGCTAGAACCGAGGTTCATTCAAGGGGACACGTCATCTTGCAACAAGAACCGCGGCCCTCCCCCCAAAGTGTACACGAAACTTGCCGATACCTAAAACTGTGTTGAGGCACACCCTTGCATTGCTGCTATACTTACTGAAGGTGCCTCCTGCATGGGAGGCGAAAAGTTTTGATGGAATTGTTGTTTATGTTATGTCAAGTTGGTGTCCTTATTTTCATTATGACATCTCTCGGCCTTTGGAGTATTTCTGAAAACAGAAAAAAGGAAGTGAATACCACACCGAATGCAGTCTTGTCCACCACGATGCCCAGCAACATGCTGCGAACAGGCACAACCGTGTAATGCCCGCGCACAGCGCAAAAGGCGGAAGTGTTAGAATTACGTGACTGTTTGCATGGCTTTCATTCGTGATTGCAGACGCCTGTGGTACTTCCGATGTCGGTGCCAGGCGTCTGCTTTTTTCTGGCCCTGTGAGAAACAAGCGCGTCGACGTAACTGACTGCACGTGCGTTCCAAATGACGCCGCGTTGACGTCGACACACGCGAATTGTACGCAAAAACGCTCTATGCTAGTCACGCTTTAGGCTTGTGGCACCATCTCCCAATGTGCATGGCTAGAGCCACGAAGTGAGGTACGCTTAGAATATCGGCACTCCGTTCCCGGATGTGCTAGTGGGCGCCGTCATCTTGTGGCTTAGTGCAGAGCAGACGCAACTGTCGATCGCCACAATTCAAAACTGCAACTCCCTTGGCTTTAGACACGGTGTTGGGAAGCTCAGGTGATATCACTGTGAACATTGAACATTTCTGGAGGACGGAAATGTGTTTCTTGCAATTTCAGATAAAGCTTCAGATAACTGGCCACCACGCTTTTAAGCACCAAGATGACTGAAGTTCGGTTACTCTAATGCATAGTTTATTTAGTGACTCTGGGCACGGTGAGCGGACAACCGCGTCGTCTGCTTTCGAGTGAATGTGTTGTCAACTCGCTGCACCTATCGGGAGATGGTGCCACAGACAATGATAGCTAATTCTCTAGTCGGCAGCATCTGCCATTGACCATGGCAAGTTTGTTGGTCTAATTTTTTTTTGCATGAAGACAGCTACACCTTGAAATTTTGCAAGGTAAAATGCACCACTAAAATGCATTTCTGAGGAAAATTTAAGACCACTACATGCTGGCACCAATTTTTCTGGCCAATTTTAGAGCATACTTGAATATTAAAGCCACAATGTATACTGCTAAGTTTCACTCACTTCATGCACCATTCTCTCATTGTTTGTCGGCTGCCCAACTCCATGCACGAGAGATACTTGAGTTACGAGCCTTACTGCAGTGCCACCGTCTTGTGACTCGCTTCCCATACTTTCATAGGTAACAAATAAAATCATTAGGCTCCCAACAAGTTTTGAAAAACAGGAACTGCTGGGATGCCCTGTAGCCAGGTGCGTAGCCAGGTGCGTAGCCAGGGGGGGGTATTCAGGTGTCAGAACACCCCCAAAGTTTACTTTATTATATATATATATATTTCTTTTTATTGTGTATGTGATTGCACCAGCACCTTGAAACACCCACCGAAAATATTTTCTGGCTACACCACTGCCTGTAGCTACCACACATGTACAAGGTATTTACAACATTTCTGAACCTTAAGAATGTGTTGAGAATGAGAACATGTAGAATGATTGCAGGGTTCTTTGTCATTGATTGAGGGCTAAAGCAGTAAATTCTTTTGGAGGAAATGGACAAGCTCTTGGTTTTCTGCACTGCAGTTTTACCGATATGGAAAAAAAGTACTTCGGCTCCCCCTTGTTTTGCTCAAGTAACTATACCTCTTTTTTTGCTTTTAAATGGCAGTTATCACGTAAGCATAGAGTGTTTCTCGGATCTTCGCATAGCATCACCACTTTTGGCTTTGGTTTTGCAGGGTCATGGAAGCCATCCAGATGAGTGAACACCTTTACCAAGACCTGCTTAGGAGCATCCTCCAGAACAGGGCACAGCAGAGGCAGTTTGTGGAAGGCTGGTGGGTTCGGTCTAGACATTCGACATCTCAGTTGCCTTGCATTTTTTCTCCCTGAACTTGTGAAGGTTGTTTTCAATCTTCCACTTGTCCCCTTCTGAGCTCAGTTATTTTATTATAACTACTACCATATCTACTTGCCTATTGAATGCACTCGCACAATGATTGCACCCCCCACAATCGGCATCAATATTTGGACTTTTTTCTTTTTCTCGTGTAATGAACGCACTTCTAATTTTCGGCTCCGCGAGTCTTGAAGCCAATTTTCTTTTGCCGCTAAGCGGCCAGGCCAAGTCAAGCCAAGCCAAGCCGCTCTCGTAATGGCTGCAATAGCATGGTTACGAAAGTGATCAACCATGAAACCGAGCGGCGTGCAGGCCTAGCGAAACTGGGGTTAAGGAATTGCTCAGCCTCGGACGTGCTTCGTCCATCGAATACATTGATGTCAACAAACACGCCGACATCTGTGATCTGCTTTCGGACAGTGATATCGTGAAAGTGGTTAGGCCTAAGAATGGTCGCGTTGTTCTCCGTGCTGAGTGAGCTTCGAAGGGCGCTTTTTCTTGTCAAAAGGCATCTCAAAAGTGCCCTAAAAAAGGTTTGCAATTTATCGAGCATGGTAACTGTGGTGTGCCCACGACCAGCCATGGGTATGCCTCTGTCAGTGGAGACGTGCCAGAGTACCCTGCCATGTCATATTTGCACCTAAAATGACATTCGCGCACAGTGTGTAAATGCAAAAATTTTACCCTGTGTAATGAATGCACCCCCCAAATATGTGCTAATTTTTTTGAAAAAAAAAGTGTGTTCATCATGCGAGTAAATACGGTATGTAAAGTGTGGCATGTGAATAGATTTGTCCCAATTATCCTAATCGAGGGGATTTATAAATGAGCTTGCTACAGTGGAATCTCGTTAATTTGAACCCAAGGGGGCCCAGAACCTCGTTTGAATAATGCAAAGCTTGAATTACCGGGAGTTTCCTTCCTCGAAAGATGTAGGACGGGACCTGTGTGTTAGTTTAAATTATCTGCGAGTTTGGGTTAAGAGAGTTTGAATTAATGAGATTCCACTGTATATGTAAATATTCTTTCTTCTATCTCTAATTCGACAAAATAAACAAAACAAGCATGAATGATGGATGTGGGCTGTCGAATCATCGTTGCCTAACATATTGGCGACTCCAGCAAAATCGACGCTGCGAGTGGCAACGCCGAGAAGCTCAAGAGACGAGGTCGTTTCTATTATGTCGTCTGCTATCGCTGCTTGGTTCTCGTAAGCAGCATAGAAACAAACATTGTTTCCAGTAATTATTTTTATGCTTCTGCCGTGTCATTCCTACGCACTGACTAAAATGTTTCTGGTGTCGAAAAATCGCTTTGCTTTCGTATGTAACACTGATTTTACTCTGCAGTGCAAAAAATTTATGGTGGTCCGCGTGCTGAACGACGAAAACGACCTCCTTTCGTCCGCCATTTTGCCTGACCAGCGCGCCCCCTATAGTTCGCTGGAGTCGCGAATAATCTTGCATAATCGCGGCAAGCTTACCCTGTTGAGTGCGCTTCTAACCGAGCACCTGCGTGCTGCGGGGAAGCACTACCCGCAGTTCCCGCGAGCTTTGTGGGTATTGCTTCCCCGCAGTTCACCGGCGTTTGGTGAGAAGCGCACTCAACGGGGCTAACCTGCTGCAATCGACACTTCAAAAAGTATGAATATCGCAGTTCACCTCGAAGCGAATACCGAATAGCTTATTATTCAAAACTACTATTCGAAAATTCAAATATACGCACAACACTAAACATGCATGTTTTGTCCAAATGCCTAAAAAAAAATATATATATTTTTAGTTTTATGTTTGACTGGACAATAGGAATTTTATAGTAGGAGTGGCTCTTGTATTTCGTGTGTATTAATGTATAGGACTCCAAATGACGACTCAAGGAGGCTTGACATGTTTCCCTGTTCCCCAGCATTCACCAGAGCCGCCTGGCACCAGCTGGAAGCAGGGAGTCTAGCGTCACCATCTCGGGTCCCCCATCCTCTGTCCCTTCCGGTGAGTGTCCCTAACTCTGAGGGCTTTTGGCCATAGGGCCTCCAGCAATAGCAGAGCTTGTAAGTCATAGCCAGTACTCCTAAGTATAATATATTACACCTGGGTAGTGAACAGTTCAGTAAGGATGTGTTGTTAGAAGTGTGCCAGTTATGCAGGTTACTGGGAGCTTATGTGTGTTGGGTGTTACTGATGGACTATTTTAAAAGATCTCAAAAGATTAGATAAAACACAATGTATGTTTGCATGCACTTGCCAAAAGATGCAAATATCTCCCAAAGCGTTCACTTTGCTGTGCAAGCATGAAGAGTGTGAAATGCTGTTTGTTACATATTATGTTGATGGCTACTTCATTTTACATTTTTTGGCTTTTCTGATGCAGACTAGAGTATGAAGCACTGTTTGTTGTAAATTTGGTTGATGCCTGCAACTTCGTTTTTTATGGCTTTACTTAAAACTTTTGACCTTCCTAATGCTGTAGTGAAGTACCTGAAGTCATATCCAAATTTAATAAATCTGTGAACCAAACATAACAAACTTAGTCGTTGCAGCAGAAGTGGCGAATGATGCGTCAGTCATAATACGGCTTGGGACTAGTTAGAACATGTGAATTTGTTTAAATCTGTTATGTTGCATAAACACTTTCCTGTTTTTGTATTGCTTAAGTTATATTCAAAAATATGCAGATGGATGAACCATACCTGATCAAATGAAACAAATGTTGCAAAGCCGCCGACACAAAATCTTTGCCTGAGCATATTTGTGAATATTTCTTCTTTGGAGGCCACATAAGGTTATGAAAAGGGCACATCATATGCATATAGCTTAAGTTATAACTGTTAGATTGTGTAAAGGAACCTGTGCTCTTCTGTAATAGCTACATTGATGCTGTCAGATGTCGGTGGGGAGGGTTTATAATGTAATCAAAGAGAAGTAATTAAGGTGGCATACTCGAAAGTAAAAACACCTTCAAATTCCACCAAAAATAAACTCTGTGAACAAATTGTCTTGATGCATTTGCGGTCGTGGCATATTGTGGACGAGCAAGGGGTGACTTTCAGCGGCTGCGGGAGTCAACAGACCGGATACCTGGCGTGACGACGACCTGATGCACTGGCTGCGTGACCTGGGGATGGACGCAGAGTGCATGGAGAGGGTGAGAACCGTCTTCTGTAGACTAGAGGTGAAACTCTGTCTTCAACTGATGCGTTTGCCGTGTCTCCCTTTTTGGTTCTTCGATTTCCGACTCGTAATGTCACCAGTGGCACATTTATCCGCGGATTACAATCCTGCGGCACAACAGAGGCAGACATGTGTTGTGCTGCCACTGGACACTGCAAGGGTTGGGATGCTCAATGACGGCAAACCTCTCCTCCACTTGCTTTCTTCGCTGGCACTTTTGTGACCGAGCGCCAGGATAGAGACGAGCGACTAAAATTGGGACTGACTCCTGGAACGTAATCTGCCGCCACTTCAGGACCTTTTTCGACGACGCTAAACACACCAGTCGAAGTCACGTTCCAGGTGAATGGCAAATTTCGGTGTCGTCTGCAAATGGCTCTTCATTCCTTGCAGTTTGCCCGGGAGCAGTTCACCAAGGAGGACGTCTTGTGCCTGATGACGAGAGACGACCTACGAAGACTGGGGCTCCGGTACGGCATCCACAATCCCTTCTTTCGGTACCCAAAGCCGAAACAGTTGGCAAGATACTTTTCATCGAACTGCTTTGGCAGAAATGGAATTGACCTTGCAAACGTGATTGATCCTGTTTCTAGCATGTAGTTACATAAAACTGGTGGATGTGATTGAGTAACTTTTATCGCAGCTTGGCACGTGTTCTTCCGAGTAAAGTTTCGGTCCGATAAATTGAATTGCTCCAATCAAACTAGTACATTTTCCCATGTTTTCTTTTGAACTTCAGGATACAAGATGGGAATGTGGCCTTTGCTCTAACCGCACTGTAACTTCCTGCATGTGTCGGATTGTTTGTGAGGAAGGAGTACTTTTCCATCGGCGTTTTGCTAGAATGCAGAGAAGAGGCTAACCTGAAGGTTTGCTTGTAGAGACAAGTGTGACCAAGCTATTGTCTAGTCCAGGGGTTCTCAAACTTTTTGGCCTCACGGAACCCCAGGAAGCTTCAAAAACTGCCACAAACCCCCCCCCCCCTCGCCCTCCATATTTGCCGACCGAGAAGAAACAGATGCACAATTGTAGGCAATTTCGGTTGTGTTGCTTCCCATATATCCCCACTATATCAATCACAATGGCAGTACAAAGTGAGATGAAGGTGCTTTGCATGGTCCTGCAACGCAGCCTGCAGCAGTGGGGGGGGGAGAGGGGTTGCAATTCGGATGTTCGCAGAACCGATGAGACCAGCTCGTCGAACCCCTGTGTTCCCCGGAACCCAGTTTGAGAACCCCTGGTCTAGTCGAGCAAATCTTTTCCTGACCTGCTTCTACAGCCTCCAGAAAGATATAAGGCTCGTACATCATTTTATGGCATAAAAAAAAACAAAAAAAACACTAAATTTGAACACGTTTCTAGGTTTTGGTTTCCTATCGGAGCGCATGCCGTGGCATCCGAAGGCATTGCGAAATGCATCTCGCAGATGATTTTACGACGACTTCTGGTGCGCATGCCAGCCGTGGTACTGTTTGCATTGGTTTTTCACTTTTAAGTGTGACGTCTTACCGATGCAATTTTTTACGCCACCTCGGCCTAATGGGGAGTTCAGTATTCATAGATCCTTTTTTTCCTCTTTTGCTACGCTTTCCGTATGAGAGATGCTGTCCGTAGAGTTGCGATGCGAGATGGTTGAAGCTCTCAACTGAAACTCTCTAATCTGGTCGGGAATCACACTCGAAAGAAAACCAACATGCATGTATTTGAAAAAAAAAGAAAAGATGAAGAAGGGAATAAACCCAAAACGTCTCAATTTGAACACATTTTGTGTTCTTCCCCTTCTTCGTCCGTCGTCTCTGATATTTTTAAATATGTGTAGCATCAACCAGCTGGCCTGTTTACTTACTCTTTCTTCAACCAACATGCATCACTGGTACGGTCGCGGTGGCGATTTTAGTCACAACCTGTGCTTTGAGCCTAGGCAAAACAGTAATTACGACCGTCGTCGACGAGCCAAATAGAACCAATGAGCTATTTTAGTGTAACAGATCAAGAAGGATAAGGAAATGCAAGCAATGGAAGATGGCATGTTTACAGTCAAACCTGTTCATAACGAACAGCAGGAAACACTACGTTCAGTTCGATATAGCAAAAACCATTTACAATGAACTTCCAGGATGCGTTCGTTGTAAGGCGAGAGCTTCTCTTCTTTTCTCATCTCTTCGCTTCCGCCTCGTAATGAAGCGCTGGAAAGTATTTTCTTTTGTGTATTTTTTTTGCATGCATGCAGAGTTTGTTCTTTTAGCTTATCTCCCCTTCTGAATCGCTTTTCTTCGTGAACGACTGCTTTGGGATGAAGAGTTTTTTTTGTTTGTTTCTGTCTTTTAACTTTCTCCCCTTCTGAATCGCTTCTCTTCGCTCAATTTTGTTGGTGGTTTGAGCTTTTGGAATTTTCTTTCTTTCCTACCTTTTTTTGATGGGAAGGGACATGCTAGAAGACGATTGTTTGCACGTTTTTGGAAGCGTTCCTGGGGGGGAAAAGTTTGATATAGCCAATATGTTGTTCGTTATAAAAAGTACTTTTACATGCATTTTTATTTAAATTTTTTGTGAGTTTAATATTGGCAATAATTCGCTGTACGTGGGTTCGTTCTAAACAGGTGTCACTGTAGTACATATTTATATGAAGAAAAAGGTGCAGGCCTCCCAGGTGGCAAAAAAAAAGCATTTACACACAGATATTTTGGGGGTTTCGGGACGAATTTCGGAGGCTTATATTTCTCGCGTGAAGGGCCGCGGCCATGTTCATATTTTTATAAGTTTCGGTGACGCCGTCAGGTTGCTCTTCTTTTTTTTATTTAGAAAGACTGGTGATCTTGGCGTGGTGGTGAGTCTAATTTGGTTCCCCACAGGACTTGTATCTTGTCCGTTTACGAACTGCCATGAAGCCTTTGCACCATAGCAAGTGACCGGTGCCAGCTACAGGCAAAGCCGCATCATGGGTACTAAGTAAAAATTAAAAATCAACTATGCAAGCGGAGCACCCTGACGTGGCGGGTCACACCGTGGAACCACTGCTATTCATTGCTGTCGACGCTCTGCTTTCTACGGCTTGCCTGGAATTGTAGAATTTCACAAAGATCTTCTCAGCTTTATTCATACAGCCGCTGAGGCAGTCGTACAGGCAACAACAAAATCGGCGGTTATTCTTTTTTTTTTTTTCTGTAGCGCTGCAGACTGCATAACGAGGCTTAGGAGACGCTAGCTTGCCTCGAGAAACCGAGCTTCGGGAACATTTTAATAGTTTCTATTTTGACCACCAGATGGTGCCACAGCTTTTTTTTTTTTAACACTAACACACGGAGGGTATTGCGCAAGTATGGCCATTGCATTAAAATGTATACTACATCGAGAAAGCTGGTGAGCAGAGATTTGAAAGATATAAGTATAATTAGGGTTCGGATTTGTCGGTTTAAACCGATAAATGTACGCCGAATCCATTTTCAGAAATTCGGTTTTAACCGAAAAAAGTCAGTTTTTAGGTTCGGCATTTTCGATTTAAATCGATAAAAACCGATAAAAGTATGTCGAATCCATTTTCTAAAATTCAGTTTTAACCGGAAAAGGTCACTTCGACCTTCCAGTAGTACCGGAAACGCAACGACTGTGTCTATAGAAACTAGGGATGTCGCGAACCCCCCTAGCTTCGATTTCGAAAGGTTTCGATATTTGCGAAGCGAACTGAGGTTCGATTTCGAAAAATTTCGATATTTTCGTACCGACCGAGGTTCGAATTCGAAAAATTCGCAACTTTTGACCACAGCAGAGTTTCGACTTCGAAAATTTCGAAGCTTTCACGGTTTCTAAAATTTCGAATTCGAATATTTCGAATATTGTTTTCCTTCAGGTTCGATAAATTCGAAGATTTCGAAATTTTTTGGGACAAAAAATTCGAAAACTTCGAACGCTTCGAATTTTTATAGACATGAAGTTCGAACAATTTGAAAATTTTGAATTTCTTTCTGCATAAAGTTCGAAAAGTTTGAAAGTTTCGATTCTCTTTTAACGCTAAACTAAAAAAAAAAAAAAAAAAAAAAAACTGAAGATTTTGAATTTTTTTTAAATCCAACTTTTCAAAGTTCGAAGTCCGATTTTCAAGTTTTTCCACAGTTTCAGTTTCAAATAACGTTTTCACGACTCACTGGTTTTCACAAAATCAAGTTTAGAAAAGTTAGGGTGTGATATCTAGATTCTGCTAAGTTGGTCAGGCAATGAAATGAGACGACGAGTGTCCCGGATGTGCTGGAATATTTGCCAGTGCAGAATTGTGGCCGCCAGCCCCGGGGGGGGGGGGGGGGTTTAACCTGCATCACGAAGTTGTGATTACACGAACACACTGTTTTACGATACTCATCCAGTTCGAAACGGCCAGGGGCGAGCAGGAGGTTGAGGCTCAGAAAAACCTTGAAGCGACCTGGCAAACCTGCTCGCCACCCCTTGCACGCTGGTAGTAATCCGATCCGGTGAAGTTTATAATTGTCCTGGAGGTTTATTTTCTGGGACGGAGGAATCGCCTCGCAAAAAGCACGAAAACCGACAGAAGTCGGGGTCGTGGAGCGTTCTACCATACAAGTGGCGTCGGAAGAGGAAAAACGGGGGGAAAGAGGGTAGCGGGGGGGGGGGGGGGGGGGGGCGGCGGCGGCTTCAGCCTCCTTCTCTACCTTGCAGGTATTTCGGACTGTTAAAAAAAGCAATACGGGGAAAGAGGGCGTGGTCGAGCTTATTTTAATCTGAAATTATTTATGCATATGTATAGCTACTGTCGCTCTTCACTGCATAAAAGGTTGCATAGATGGTCATTGTTAGAAACTCGTTGTCGGAAGGCACTACTCGTCACATGCTTAGTGGTTCGGAAGTTCAAAGCTGTCTTTTCGACCTAAATACCTGTGCCGATAGTAACAAAAAAAAAAAAAAAGAAAGAATAAATGCGGGAATAAAAAGCAGGAGAAAAAAAAAAAACTATCAAGAATTCGTTGGAAGTGTTCTATTCTTGCATATTCAGAGATTCAGAACTTCGAAACAAGTTTCTTTTACCAAGATGTGTACAGGCTAAAAGAAACACGTCCCAGAAACGTGAAGCGAAAAAAAAAAGTTTTCTTTTAATGACGTGCTGAACTTGAACACTATTAGAAATCTTCTCCCATGAGTTAATTTATTCCTTAACGTGAAAAAACAATAAATATATTATTTTGTATTCTGCAGATGGCAATGATATGTACTGTCTGTGGTGTTAATTTAAATGAGATACCTCAAACAACTTAGACGAAAATAAATATCAAGTTTAGGTCAAAATTGCATGCAGATAAATGTTTGGACATTTCTTCGAAACTCACGTTGAATAACAATAATCACATCTTAAGACGGCACTTACCTAAGCTATACATAGATCATTCTTAAAAAAGTATAACATGTCTACCATAAATAGCTCCGGCTGCAGCGTGCTTCAAATCTGGCACAAACGATAATCGTCAAAAACCCGTCGTCCTTTCTCGCCCCTTCGGGGATTTATTCCTTTAAACCTAAGCATGCCAGAAAATTGAAATAAACGACATTGTCTTTCGTAAGGAACGCAACACCGCGTGTAAAAGTTCGAGAAAAAAAAATTACGAATGTACCCCACTACTTGAAATCAAATGAAACCGTCCGCCGGTCTTTCGAAGTTCGACGAACGTCGAACTTTTACCCTAAAAGTTCGAAGTTCGTCGAACTTCTGACTTTTCAGAATTCAAAAGTTCGAAACTTTTCGAATTCTCTTGATAAATAAGTTCGAAAGTTCGAAATTCATCGAATATTTTGGTCAGTTAAGTTCGGAAGTTCGACAAGCATCGAACTTTGCAGCGCAATAAGTTCGAAAGTTCGAAAAATATAGAATTTTCTAGCGTAATAAGTTCGACGGTTCGAAAAGCGTCGAACTTCTTAGCTTAACAAGTTCGAAAATTCGACTTCCGTCGAATTTTACGATGTAGACAATTCGAAAAATCGAAATCTTTCGAACCGCTTGATTCGATCATCGAAACTTCGATTCGAAAAAAGTTCGCGGCATCCCTAATAGAAACGTGTCCGATTGTATGGGATACAGGGGTGCCATCACGACATTTTGGTTTAATGTGTGCATCATCGATCGAAACGTGAAGTCCGAAATGCCCCATGACTTCGCCATGTACGAGCGTGTTTTTAAATTCGTTGTAAGGAAGACTGACTTGATGCAAGCTCTGCATGTTGTGTTGTGCTTCAAAACGTCGCGCCGTGTCTCTTTTGGCGGTCACAATTAGGGATGTCGCGAACCACCCCAGGTTCGATTTCGAAAGGTTTCGATATTTGCGAAGCGAACTGAGGTTCGATTTCGAAAAATTTCGATATTTTCGTACCGACCGAGGTTCGAATTCGAAAAATTCGCAACTTTCGATCACAGTGGAGTTTCAAATTCGAAAAGTTCGAAGCTTTCACGGTTTCTAATATTTCGGATTCGAATATTTCGAATATGTTTTTGCTTCAGGTTCGATAAATTCGAATATTTCGAAATTCTTTGGAAATAAAATTCAAAAACTTCGAGCGCTTCAAATTTTTATAGACATGAAGTTCGAACAATTCGAAGATTTCGAATTTTTTTCTGCGAAAAGTTCGAAAAGTTTGAAGGTTTCCATTCTCTTTTACCGCTAAATTCGAAAAAGAAAAAAAAAAAAACTTCAAAGATTTTGAATTCCTTTCTAGTCCAAGTTTTCAAAGTTCGAAGTCCGATTTTCAAGTTCCCCTACAGTTTGTTTCAAATAACGTTTTCACGACTCACTGGTTTTCACAAAATCAAGTTTAGAAAGGTTAGGGTGTGATATCTAGATTCTGCGAAGTTGGTCAGGCAATTAAATGAGATGACGAGTGTCCCGGATGTGCTGGAATATTTGGCAGTGCAGAGTGACGTGTGACCATAGATCAGTAATTGTGACTGCCAGCCCGGGGCGGGAGGGGTGGGGGAGGGGGGTCTTTAACCTGGATCACGCAGTAGTGATCACACGAACACACTGTTTTACGAGACTCATCCAGTTCGAAACGGCCAGGGGCGACCAGTAGGTTGAGGCTCCGAAAAACCTTGTAGCGACCTGGCAAACTACCTCGCCACCCCTTGCACGCTGGTAGTAATCCGATCGAACGCCGCCCGAATGACGCTGGCATTTAGTAAGTTAAGTTTGTAAATGTCCTGGAGGTTTATCTTCTGGGACGGAGGAATCGCCTCGCAAAAAACCGACACAACTCGAGGTCGAGGAGCGTTCTACCATACGAGTGGCGTCGGAAGAGGAAAAACGGGGGGAAAGAGGGTAGCGGGGGGGGGGGGGGGGGGGGGGCGGGCTTCAGTTTCTTTTCTCCCTTCCAGATATTTCGGACTGTTAAAGAAAACAATACGGGGAAAGAGGACGTGGTCGAGCTAATTTTAATCTGAAATTATTTATGCATATGTATAGCTACTGTTGCTCTTCACTGCATAAAAGATTGCGTAGATGGTCATTGTTAGAAACTCGTTGTCAGAAGGCACTACTCGTCACATGCTTAGTGGTTTGGAAGTTCAAAGCTATGTCTTTTCAACCTAAATACCTGTGCTAATAGTAAAAAAAAAAGAAAAAAAAAAAAGAATAAATGCGGGGATAAAAACCTGGAGAAAAAAAACTATCAAGAATTCGCCGGAAGTGTTGTATTCCTGCATATTCAGAGGTTCAGAACTTTGAAACAGGTTCCTTTTACCAAAATATGTACAGGCTAAAAGAAACACGTCCCAGGAACGTGAAGCGAAAAAAAAATGTTTTCTTTTAATGACGTGCTGAACTTGAACACTATTAGAAATCTTCTCCCATGAGTTAATTACGTGAAAAAACAATAAATACAATATTTTGTATTCTGCAGATGGCAATGATATCTACTGTCCGTGGTGCTAATTTAAATGCGATACCTCAAACAACTTAGACGAAAATAAATATCAAGTTTAGGGCATAAGTGCATGCAGATACATGTTTGGACATTTCTTCGAAACTCACGTTGAATAACAATAATCACATCTTAAGACGGCACTTACCTAGGCTATACATAAATCATTCTTTAAAAAAGTGTAACATCTCTACCATAAATAGCTTCGGCTACAGCGCGCTTCAAATCTGGCACAAACGATAATCACCAAAAACCCGTCGCCCTTCCTCGCCCCTTCGGGAATTTATTTCTTTAAAACTAAGCATGCCAGAACATTGAAACAAACGGCATTATCTTTCGTAAGGAACGCAGCACCGCGTGTAAAAGTTCGAGAAAAACAAATTACGAATGTACCTCACTACTTGAATTCAAATGAAACCGCCCGCCGGTCTTTCGAAGTTCGACGAACGTCGAACTTTTATCCTAAAAGTTCGAAGTTCGTCGAACTTCTGACTTTTCAGGATTCGAAACTTTTCGAATTCTCTTGATAAATAAGTTCGAAAGTTCGAAATTCATCGAATTTTTTGGTCAGTTAAGTTCGGAAGTTCGACAAGCATCGAACTTTGCAGCGCAATAAGTTCGAAAAATATCGAATTTTCTAGCGTAATAAGTTCGACGGTTCGAAAAGCGTCGAACTTCTTAGCTTAACAAGTTCGAAAATTCGACTGCCGTCGAATTTTACGATGTAGACAATTCGAAAAATCGAAATCTTTTGAACCTTTCGAACCGCTTGATTCGATCATCGAAACTTCGATTCGAAAAAAGTTCGCGGCATCCCTAGTCACAATTGATTGATTGGCCGATTTTGGCTCGGGCAGCGCTTCACCTCCTCAGTCTGCCAGTGTCCAGTGTTAGCGTTGAGAAAGTATTCTCAAAGCTCAGGGTCATGTTAACAGGAAAGAAAGAGTGCGGATCAATGAGGAGAACCTGGGAAAGTACATGTGTGTCTGTGTACTATAATAAGATCACGTAATCCTGGTATACAGAAGGTGAAGTTAAATGATTTTGGGCGCAGGCTTCATATCTGACTTGTTTGTACTTGCGTTTTTTTTTTCTTTCTTTTACAGTTGCACACATTTGCCAAATGAAGTGTCCATTTCTTTTTCAGTTTATACGTGCCGTTATTTTTCGAGTAATCACAAATATTAAAGCTACAAGGATAATCTGATCCGGTGTCCGTTGGTGTTTATTTTATATTCACCGAAAAAAGCCGATGAACTTTTGTGGCCAAAAAAAAGCCCGAAAATTGATTTTTAAAATAAACACCGAAAGAAGTAAGCCGAGTTTTGAAAAAGTAGAAACCGAAAAATCCGAACCCTAAGTATAATGTCCGGTTCATGAGACTTCGCCCACTAATTTCTGTTTTGTGGTTGATTCATCGCATCAGTTTAGAGAGGGGAGGCGGGCAAAGGAAAGCATAGATGCTGGTGTACTGTTTTGGGTTGGTGCCTGTTTGATTCCCATGCGGGTTCTTGCAGATTGGGACCCGAACTGCGCATCTGGAAAGCAATACAGAAGTCCAGGGATGGCAATTCCTGAGCACTAAGGCAGCAAGAGAAGCACGAGCATCATTGTTCTCATACGCCCATTGAGACTTCACCGAAATCAGCCGCTTCATTATTTCCTAGCTCAAAGTCAGAAAGGAGGAGTGCGTGCACCTGACTGATTTTCGTCGTGTACCCCATCAGGTACCCCATGTTACCGCCTTGCACGTGCCCTGCATACCTTTTGTGGGGGCACCTCCAGTGTTGACTGTCCTGCCATTAATATTTTACGTCAGTCGCCCTCCATCATCGACGTGATCAGGGTCATCATTCGGGGAAAGTCATCTAGACCCAGTCACCGAGGAATGAGTATTTGAGTGTTTCGTTAGTCGCAGTTGAACAAGTTAAATAGCACTCTGTTGTGTCTTGCTGCAAAATCTCTTTGCTAGGGAGTGTTTTGTTTTTCGTAACGTGTCCCTTCATTGTGTTGTTATTCGGTCTTGTTTTGTACATATAGGTTAGGATGCTTTTGGTTGGTTGGTACCATTTTTTTAACAATGCTTCGAGTCTGGCTGCTAGGTATGGCTGCAGGTGTGCCGTTGGGAATGACGTTTACAAATGTTACTGTTGACACCTGTTTTAGAACTACTCGATGCTGCAAATTCAGTCTGATTGTTTACCAGTCATTTATGATGCCAATGGTGCTATGCATTGGGGCAGGTACACAAAGGATGGCAGGGGCGTGCCCTGACCAATGGGCATCACATTGTCCGTCATTCTGTTCTATCTGCAGTTTGTCGCACTAAGGTTTTACACGAGTGCCTTGTATTGCCACCTGCGAGTGCAGTTAGATTTTTGGGTGATGCAACCCACACTAAGCTCTGTGAAAAGATATTTTGCCTATGCACCAGTTATGCATTGCTGGGGGTAGTTAAATGCTGGACTTGTTGTTTACAAAGAGTGTGGCTCACAGAGCTGGTGCTATCTGGAGCTCTAGCTGTATAGCGAAAAATTAGACGTCTGACAAATTGAAGTGACACAAGATTTTACCCTTTTAACTAGGAATTTGATTTTGTACAGTGACTATGTTTGCTACTATGTTTGAATTAAATGTGAAGGCTCGTTTAGTGGCCGGGCAGTTTAAGGCACTACTTAATCAATTTCAAAGAAATTGTGCAATATAAAGTTTGCATTGTGGTTAGCTGTTTTATCTGTTGAGCCAAACGAAGTTAATCTTTATGCCTTGGGGTACAAATGACTAAAGAGAAAAAATGACCATGTATTTTGGTCAAAAACGTTTTTGAAAAAAATTAAAATTTGTTGCTTTGTTTTCTTTTTTTTTTAATTCAAAAGTCACAGTGCCACTTGTTTCTGTAGTGAGCAAGCTGTGGTTAACACATTTTATAGAGTCAATTATATAATCTTCAGGCGCTCTATTGAAGAGTGGCAGCCTCTGTCGGCTGTGTGTTGCATACCTGTTTGGAAGAGGGCTTTGGAAATGGAAGATGTGTTCCTGAATTAGTGCCAAGTTACCTGGAAATGGAGGCAATAAACAAATTTGTTGCCAAAACATGAACCATGACTGTTCATGGGGACAGGTTCTTGAGCCTTGTGATTGGGGGACGAAACACATGTGTACCAATAAATTGAGCCATGAATGCAAGTCTGCTACATGTCGCGCCAAAATTCCAACTTTTACTCAAAATCGCCTGACAACTGCTCCAGGATGAGCATAAACAAAGCAACATGAAATTTAATATTAGTCTAGAGTAATATTGAGAGAAGTAGAAGAAAAGGAAAATGGCAAATACTCGGTGTCTCTAGACGTACTACTCACCGTAGCTGAAATTCGCTCGTCTACGGCGCTGGCTACGTCATCGTCAGAACTTCCTGCGAGGATGTTGGCGATGTCACGGAGCTAGAAGTCGCTAAAAAAATTAATGAAACGGTGGTACGGTGGCTGCTATGATAAGACAAAACCAGGGTCCCATTACTCTTGGTGAATCACTTGATTTTCATCTCAGCCACATGTCTCCACGCGGTGGCACTATCGCCACGCTCGCGCCAACCTTCACCGCCTCGCACTGTCGCGCGCATCGAGCTTCACGGCGTTACATCGGTGCGTTAGAAAAAGTGACTTGGGCGGGGGAACACCAATCGGTTAGCGCGATGGGCTCGGAAATTATGCCCAGTACTATATACTAGGGTTGTGCGAATATTTGGAATACCGAATAGTAATGTAGTGTAGTGTAGAATAATACACTATTCGATATTCGCTTCAAGAAGAACTGCACTATTCGCGTTTTTCGAAGTGTTGGTTGTCGCGGGTTAGTCCCGCCGAGTGCGCTTTTTTACCAAGCACAGGTGCACTGCGGTCAAGCAATACCCGCGGAAGCGAGCTCCGCGGGTGTTGCTTCTCTGCGTTACATCGGTGCTCGGTAAGAAGCGCACTTAACGGGATAACCCGCCGCGATAAACACTTGGGAAAGTATGAATATCGCAATTGCGTGCTTGGAGGAAAAGCATACATTGAAAGCGGGATGGTGCACGCGTGCCGGCTGTACTTAAAAATAAAGGGAAACTTTTTGAATATGTATATCTGCATTGCAGTAAAAAGTTCAAAATTTAAACTGACTGTTATGCAAGAGTATACTATGTTAGGCAGAGATACCCTTGCAACCTGCGTTCATCAGGTGCGATTCATACCCGAGGTGAAAGAAAAAATATTTTATATAGCAAGATTTGTAAATTCACTCGATTCGGTATAGCTGGCCATCTCTATAGGATTCATTTTATGTCAAATCCGTCGTTTACTTGCCATCTCAAGACATCAGACCTTCTGAGGTCCTAGCTCATAAATAGAGATAAACTTAGCGTATAAATGAGCAAGTGGAACAACCTTCACAAGTTTAGCTGGGTTTTCGCCTAAGCATTATGCAATGACAGTAAAAGGCGTGAAAAGAGTTCGATATTTGAATCGAAAATATTCGGCCAAAACCTCTATTCACTTCGAATTTGCTTCGAACTCAAAATCCACTATTTGCACAAAACTACTATATGCAGGTCAACCTTTTTTTTTTGGTCTGGATTGTAGGTTGACCTTTCAATTTAAAGACCGGTCCGAGAAAGGAAAACAAAACAAAATATGTGCTCCTATATTTGAATGAGTAGTCAAAGTAGTTCCTGCGCAGTATTCGATCGAAAGGACCCCGAACTCCGACTTAACATTGGCTCCAATGCCGCTAACTCTTGCAGAATTAGCAGTGCCACTTTTAAATAATTTTAATTTTCGGTAATATTTGGGAAAAGGGGGGGAGGGGGGGGGGAGTTAGGGTTAGGAGTTTATGATGTTAGATACTCTGAGCTTTCTAGGTTCATAACTTTTGGTGGAACATATATTTATTGATCAACTTTTTGAGCGGATATGCTAGCCTTTTTCCGGAATTTTAGATAAATGATATTGACAGGCTAGATGAACCATGAGCATAAGAAAAAGAAGTGGGAGAGATGTTTTATCTTAATTGGAGTATCTTGCTATGATTTATTTTTCAACCGTCAATCCCCGTTGTAAACGGAACTTTCACTTCAACCTTCTGAAAAAAGAAAAAAAGAAGAGTTATGTGCCATATACTTTTTATGATAATTTATATGTATTAAGTTAGAAAAGAACCCTGAATACTGAAGGTGATCAATAAGTTTTGCCTCCTAGGCTATAACTTTTTTATTCAGTGATGGATTTGAAAGATGTTACATTCAAATAAAAGCTTGGAATATGCTCTTTGCCAGGAACGTGTAGCTTTTTTCTCGCGTGGGTTGAAACGTGGTGGCGCCAGCGTGCAAATACCCCCCGACTACTTCCGGTTTTGAGCTAGACTTGCTTGGCAGTATTTGCGAAATCAAATATACACGCTGTTTTCTAGAAATGGCCACTTATAGTATTGCCAAACTTAATTCACTCTTATGATAAAAAAGATGAGTAAAAAATGAGGAAATATACGTAAACCGGAAATGTGCCGGAGCTACCCAATAGATGGCGCCACTGAGTTTGTTGCCTAACAAAAGAGGGCGAATAGTCCAGCCGGCGGCGGTGCACTTCCGCTACCGATACTCTACTCTCTGCAAGCCGTCGTAGATGATTGAGGTCGGCTGTTGTGACCAACGTCGCGCTGGAAAAGCTGCAGTTCTAAGATGTTTTGCCTCCCCCCCCTCCCCCCCCCCCCCTCATTCATCCTTCAGCCCTTCAAACCCCATCAGCCTTTCAACCCTTTAGACACCCAAATGACTATGAACCATAAACAAAAAAAAATTCAGTTTGAAATGCCACTGGAAAGTTATTTTAGACATTAAGTTTTACATGCATGTTGAAACTCAAAAAAGACGATAAGACTCAACGTGTACTCAAACCCGGGTGCAAGCAGTTGTAGACAAGCAACAGACCGAAAAGCGGCTACCGAGTTATTTGTCGCGAAAATATAATTCGAGGTAAATTGTTTCTGGGTAAATTCCTGCGATGTACGATAGTTCAACTCTTAGAAGGGTACTCCGGCCATCTTTTTAGCCACCCCAACTAACTATATTTTCTGAATCCCCAGCCTTTACCCTTTTCTGTATGCTATTTTATACCGCAAAATTCAGAATAGTTATTGTGAAATCGGCACATGAATATCATGCCAAAACCAACGTTAAAATATACCCGCAATTTTCAGTGCCGTTATACTTCAGTGGCAGGCAGTCTGAAACATAGTCTAGACTATGCCGAGCATATGTGTCGTGCTGCAGCGCTGGTGCTGGAGCGAGCTTCCCAGGAATTCATTCGAGACCGTGAAACCGCTTATATTCAGTTGGGAACAGTTTACACTCCAAAGCGTGGACCTCTGCCTACTGCATGCTGGCGTCGCTTTTTCATTGTTGCCAGTAGAGACTTCCACTTTGAAAAACATGGTGAGGAACAAATATGTAACCTCCAATAACTTCACAAAAAAAAAAAAAAATTCTGACCTAATTTTGGGTTACTATTACTTCAGCAATATGGGTTGCACTGACGTCACATCGCATACTTTTGATCACCATGTAAGAGGAGGAGAGGGAAGCTGCTTTTGTAAGAATTTTGAGTGGCGGGTTAATCTTCTCTAATCTTCTGGGAGGAGAATAGGGACGCCTGTGCAAATCCGGGAGGCACAAAAGAGGGTCCTGATAAGAGGGAATCTCCTTCTTGCCCTCGCCTCTGGTGGTCATCGGAGTGCTCTTTGAATGACGTCACGTGCAACCCATGTATGAGGAAAACGCCGGAATAACATGCAGCAGGGGAAAACATTGTATTTTTGTATTTGCGATAAATGAATGAAATTGTGTGCGTTAAAATCGCCACATATAATAAGCTGCCCTCGGCTACGTTTGTGAATTTCTTCTAGCACCTTCGCTTCCCATACACCATGCCGAACAGTATATGCAGAAATAACCGTTCTGACTTGCCGGCCTATTACGATTATTAAAATTAACTGTTGGGCTAGTTGACTATACATTGTTAAAAATCAAAAGCGCAAACACCAAGGAAAAGAAGAGGGGACAGGTCAGAGCGCTTACTCCAACTGGGTGTGTAATGCATTCCCCGAGGAAGACGTAAAAGAAAAAAACAAAACAAAACAAAAACAAACAGGACATGTGAAGGTAGAAAGAGGAGAAAAATAATTTTATAGATATAGATATATTAAAGAAATTAAAATTAAATCTAACTTCACCCCGTTACACTAGCAAAGAAAAAAAGAGAAAGAGAGCGCGATAAAAACAAAATTTAGAAGTATAAACAAAAGCAACCCAGGTCAAAGATGAAGTTAGAAAACATTAAAGCGACCCGAGATAAGAAAAAAGGTTGAGGTAACCCATCTCTTTCTCAAACAACGCTATTGATGGTGTGCTTATGCAAGCTTCCCCTTGAGACAAGTAGGTGTTTGCTTCATAGAGCTCTCTGGCTTGCGTCCCAAGATTAATTGGCTAAATGAAAATGATAAACAATGCACCGTCAATCATACGCATAAGTACGTCACCTGCAACACCAACGTAGTGTATGAAATTCCGTTCACATGTGAAAAAGTATACGTTGGACAATCTGGCCGCTGTGTGAATGTGAGACTTGGAGAGCATCCTTTCTCTTAAACCATCACCATCGGGACTTCTCGCCATACACGTCCGGGACTGCCACTGCACACCTATGATCCAACAGACTAAAATCCTCAAACGCTTCCATAACAAGAGCTCCAGAGAGCTCTATGAAGCAAAAACCTGCTTGTCTCAAGGGGAAGCTTACGTAAGCACACCATCAATAGCGTTGTCTGAGAAAGAGATGGGTTACCTCAACTTTTTTCTTAACCCGGGTCGCTTTAATGTTTTCTAACTTCATAATTGACCTGGGTTGCTTTTGTTTATACTTCTAAATTTTGTTTTTATCGCGCTCTCTTTCTCTTTTTTTTCCTTTGCTAGTGTAAAGGGGTGAAGTTACATATAATTTTAATTTCTTTAACATTAATTTTCCTCCTCTTTCTACCTTCACACGTCCTGTTTCTTCTTTTATGTCTTCCT